CAAAAATAAAACTTCGTTTGTATTAACCAGGACCATCTGGTTTCTTCTTATTAAAAAGCCTCTCTACTACTAGATATTTGTCATCAATAATGTAAGCTAGCCACGTTCGTCGCCAAGCAAAACAGCTGCTCCACGCTGGCGACCCCGTCCATTGACGTGTCATTAGCAGGGACTTATTGCGTCTTCTGATGTGTCTTCTCTCTTGGACCTTAGGCATCACGATTAGTTGAAGCAATCTGTACCTATCATGTCGAAACAACTCCCTGAGATATCCACCTTCGCGCTTTTTTATGGTCACATGATTTCTGGCGACATTTTTAGTCGCCGTACTGTCTCATTATTGGTTTATTGCATTCCTCAAGGCGATTTTAACAACAAATACTTCGAGACACATCTACTTCTGTATATTCTTCTTTGATGGGCCTTATACAACACCGCTATATAGAATGGCCAGATATAACTTTGGAGAATGCGTGCTCTTGATTTGACGTCGATTTATCGATCTCTCGTCCAAGTGTACCACCGACCTTGCTATTCCGAATCGGTTTCGGAGACGGTACAAAGTAAAGACGGTTAGTCTCCTTTGAAAATGAGTTCCGATCAATTTTTATAATTTTCTTTATATTTTTATTTTAAATGTTCAAATAAAAATATTGGATCAATATTAATAGACAGGGCCTAGGGCGGCATCAAGCCTCAATTCGTCATTGCTTGCAGTCACATTATGTTCCTATTCCCAATGCAATACGCGAGGCACCAAAAAAAAAAAAAAGACTATTCTGGAAAATTTAATCACACATGTAATATCATATGAACGCACGTGGCTTTATGCAAATGGCATCGTGTTCATTCGACCGCATTAAAATTCATAGATGGCGGAAGCGCGCACGCGAGGTCGCCGGGTCGCCGTTATCGGCACGCGCCATTGTCCCGGACCGGCTACCGAGTCACCGGGGGCGAACTACTGACACCGTAAATCAATGGATTTATATTATTTACACTAGATGATGACCGAGCTTGGCTCGTTTTTTTTTTTTTTTTGATAACGCCATCTTGTTGTGTCTTTAAAGCGGTTAGTTGCCCTCAATTAAGAAAAATAGTATTATTATTCGCCAATAGATGTCGGGAAGAGTTGATTATTGAAAACACGAATAAAACAACATTTTCTGAAAATAAATCGTAGCTAGATCGATCCCTTTATACTAAATTGTATGAAAATCGTTGGAGCCGTTTCCGAGATTCAGATTATATACATATATATTAATACACAAGAATTGCTCGTTTAAAGGTATAAGATAAGATACAAAGAATGATCAAAATTTACGTTAAGCAGTTTGTTGATGTAGTTCGCAGTAATACAATTTTTGTTTCCCCTGATAGCCTTGAGAGGCCATTTCAGCGTTACCAAAGCGTATAGGTGAGCTCCCGGAGCTCAAACCGGAGGTGTTGCTAACACTGGCCCTAGCAAATGCAGTGCTTCGCAGAATCTTTATTTGAAGTTGTCATGGCCTAAAGGATGACTCCGGTGCATTCGTATCTAGCGATGCACCGGTGTTCGAATCCCGCAGCCGTGTACAAATTTTTTTAAAGAACTACGTATTTAACAAATATTCACGATTGACTTCTACAGTGAAGGAGCATCGTGTAATAAAAATCAAACCCGTAAAATTCTAGTTTGCGTAATTACTGGTGGTAGGACCTCTTGTGAGTTCGCACGGGTAGGTACCACCGCTCCGCCCACTTCTGCCGTGAAGCAGTAATGTGTTTCGGTTTGAAAGGTAGGGCAGCCGTTGTTGACTGCGCGATTTAAATACTGGCACAGTCGCATCACTCGGGTTAGCCGAGACATAGACATTACAAAGCGAACGCAATGCGCCTAAACACAAGTAAAAAGGCAATTTACCGTCATAAATAACATCCGCAGTTTTGTTGACGCTGTCACGAAAAAGAATATATTTTATTTAAAGTGTCACGTAATTATTACAAAGATAATAAAACCGTGTGCCGTGGAAGTGTTTTTTTTTTTTTTTTTTCGAAATAAAAGGTAACATAATGTCAAGCACGTGTCACTCTCCTGACCTAAAACTGTCGGTTTCAAAAATCATGTCAGTAAGTTTCTTCACACAGCCACAAATAAACACACTTTTACGTTTATAATATTCAATATGGTTAACGCACAGTATATGCGATTACCTATAAACACAACCTGAACCCATGACACAAGGTTGAAGTATTCAAAGGGGAATGTATTGCTCTGATATTACAATAACATAACGACATAATAACAATATAATTACAATAATTATATTTCAAAAAATAATATTTCACTAAGTACATCGATTTGTTTATAGTAAGACTAGCTTTTGCCCGCGACTCCATCCGCGTGGAACAGTTACTTTGGCATAACGCTAAATTTTACCCCCCACTTCATTTACGTAGAAAGTGAAATTATTTTGAAACATTCTTTATTGGTGCTCCACTTTTATCGGCCTTACCGTGATGTTATATAGCCTATAGCGTTCCTCAATAAATGGGCTAATACTGAAATAATTTTTCAAATCGGGCCAGTAGTTCCTGAGATTAGCGCGTTCAAACAAACAAACTCTTCAGCTTTATAATATTAGTATAAATAAAATCCATTATCTATTTCTTTATTTCTTCTCTATTACTTCATTATTTCTTTCATTATTCATTATTAAAAAAAAAACCATAACGAAATGTTGGAGCGAACATCCAAAGCGGACGAAATCAGACATTAACAAAAAAATGTTTTTAAAAAAAAAACAATGTGCCTCCAACAGTCCTTCATGAATAAAACAAATAATCTGGATTCCAAAAAGTATTTTATTCGAGAAAATAAATTCTTAAAAACTAAATCCCTACGTGATTACGTAAAACGTGTTCACATAGAGAAAGCAAAATATAAATTTAATATTCAGACTTAATTATCCTTTTTAAGAGCTCTGTCAGAGTCACATTGTCTTTTAAAAAACAGCCAAATAATGTTAAAATACATATAAAAACTAAATACTGAATTTTTCGAAATGTTTTTTTTATTGCCCTTGTAGGCAGACGAGCGCACGGCCCACCTGATGGTGAGTGGTTACCGTCGCCCATGGACTTCAGCAATGCCAGGGGCAGAGCCAAGCCGCTGCCTACAAAGCCTGCCTGCCTGTTCTTACCCCTAATAATTACCCTTCCGACAGACTGGTTCAGTGCAACTATTACTGCACAGTTTTAACGCGATAAACATTGCTCTAACAATATCCTCTAGAGCACTGCATTTTTACTAATACAAAACATTCGGACAAACAAAATCCTTTTTTGTTTTTATTGCATAGATTGATGGACGTGCTCACGGCCCAACCGGTGTTAAGGGCTTATCGGAGCCCATAGACATCAACAACGTAAAAATGCCACCACCTTGAGTCACGAGTTCCCAATCTCAATTTTACAGTACAAGGGCTGCTCCACATTTCAAACCGAAACGCATTACTGCTTCACGGCAGAAATAGGCAAAGCAGTAGTAACTACCCCGTCACAACACGCCCTACCAACAGTTAATATGTGCTCACTTTAGAACGAATTACCTCTCCTCTGAATCACGAAGACCCCACCAAAAAATAAATTCGTTTCAAAATGCAAATTAATTTTCCCATTTCTAATAATAAACAACGAAGTCACGACTATTGTGCCTATTACAGATCATACTGTGTGACGTTTGACCATAGACCAAACCAAAATCAGGAATAAGTATGCGTTCACATTGTGATATCTGTGCCGTTCGAATGCGGATCTGAGAAAGTCGTATAATCTATACCACTCGAAAAAACCGGTCAATGTATTTAGCAAAAAATTAAGCAAACGAATATAACGATTCTGAATATGACTTAGTTAAATGGGCTTTTATTTTTAAATAATAAGGACATTTTCAGCCAGGGCTATGCTTCTTTTTATATTTTTTTATTTCAGCCAGCTTCGAGGCAAAGGTCTCTCTCTCTTCTTATATGACTACTAAAGCATATTCGCAACTGCCTAAGTTTTTAACCTTATCAAAACATACGTAAATAGGCTATTGGTTTTTGCATATAGGTAAATTAAAAAAATTTGTGGCCTCAACTGGCGGCTCTAGTCCTCTTGGAAAGAGATCATCGATGTCATTGAACATCAGCAAAGTCGGAACTTAGTCCCGACTTTGCGTCTACCATAAAAACACTCATATTAAGCCTCATTTACAGAAAATGGTGATCAACCGCGTTCCTTTCCTACTTCTGTTAGTATGAATGTATTTGCTATGAAACCCTGTGAATCAGTGTTGCCAGGCTAAATAAGAAATACTGTCCGAGTAAATACTGCAACTACAGAGACAACAGCAAGAGATATATTTTAGTAGACCGTTACTTATTATTATTATGAGTTTTCACTTTTATCGAATCAGGAAGCACCAGAAAGCGTGGTTTCCGAGAACGCCTACCATACGCCTAATATTATTTTATGATTTTAGGGATACCAAATTTAGAATATCGAAAGTCGATAAAATCATTACCGATTTGCATCAAGAAACATCATCGCAATGCAATCGTATATAGCTACTTATAAAAATAAAAATCATGAAAAGTAGCTTGGAACTTTCACACGACTCATATATCAAAATATGTCTTTATTCTTTTTTATATCTCTTAAATGTTATTTTATATCTATTTTAAGAAAAATCTAATTGTCTGCTTAAGAAAAACATGAGAAAGAAAATAGGAAAAACTAAAAAAAACTAAACATAAGACTTATCAAACCACTCGATCTATTAAGAATTATTTGACCGGCACATGCTATTGGAGAACAAAAAGTTTACCACGACTTGTGCGTTGTTCGTTGAGAGAAATTTGATGACTAAAAAAGAATGTTTGAATAAACGCTAGACGTTTCTTCAATATAGCTTATTGAAGCCACGCAAGAAGAATGCAATTAAAATTACCACTAATGATATAATGAGTATTGCATACGTTTTCTTGCAGTCGTTCGCAACCTCCGCAGTTTTCGTCGCTGTCTGTTGACAATTAAGAAACGTTTTAAAATTAGTCAAATCGTAATAAAATCATGAATATATTTCAGTCTATTTTTTTTGTCTCAAGTGAAAAAATGTCAGTTATGTTAAGTTGAATATGCAATTTCGAAAAGGGCACATCTCTGAAAATGTAAAATGTTCAGGAAATGATAAAACCTGATTATTTTCTAAAGCAGTGTAAAATATAAAAATACATATTAACTTTTGCGATATATTGTAGTGTTAATTAACAATTGAAAATTACTGGAATTATTATAAAATGGGTGTAGGCAAGCATCAAAACTACATGTGTATATGAAAAAACGTATTTGACAAAATATGCGACATGTGCCCTTTTCGAAATTGCATATTCAGTTAATTTCGTGCTTTCGTATGTCGTAAACTTTTCTTTGTCGTTTTATGACCTGATAACGATACCTTTAAGCCAATTTAAACATAATTAAAACTACCTCTATGATCTAAGCATGACTATTCGAACAATTAATAAAAATATATTTATTTATACTCTTCTTTTTTTGTTAACTCCCACAAATAGTTACATCCAGTCTGTTTCAGCCGCGAAGCAGTAATTCGATACGGTCTAAAGGGAGTGATAGTCGTTACACTATACAATTAGGACTTAGATCTAATGTCTTAAACCACTCAACATAACCGTGAGCTCGTATACGATACTCTAGCGTCGGATACCCACTTGTCATTTTTTTCGCAAACCGAATAGTATTGCCAGACAAGAAAACAATTTATTTGCAGTGTTGCCAATCACAAATTTAAAATTTACGTTTTTAATAGTTCAATTTTCACAATGTCTCTAAGGTTGATTATTGCTGGACTCGATTGCTGAACCAGGTGATGCAAGTACAAGGAGAAGAAGAAAATGTACATTAATTATATTTTATTTCGTATAAAATATTGAATTGATTCTTATTACCCGATGCAGGCTACACAACTGAAGTTACCAATACAATTAACGTACCTTACTGCTGGGCGTATCGTTAATCTTCTTATACTTGTAATACGATGTGAGGGTTATCTTGGAATGCTTCGCGAGTGCTTTGCTAACAGACGTCGCCTGTTCACGTCGCGCTAACGCCACGAACGCTGACGTATCATCGATGAATTGTACTGTTATTGGACCTGATTGATACAGAAATTACTCTTAAAAATGTATGATACAGCTTTCAACAAACCGAAGTTTCTATTGTTTAATACATTTTAACAAAACCCTGTCAATCTGAGTCGACCTTTTTAGTATTAAATCAGTCTACGTAATGCCATTATAAACTATATAAGTATGGTATATTAGGTAAATATTGTGTAGTTTATAAATGAAACCACAAAAAGTTTTAATTCAATCTTCTATTTATTAGTCGAGTGCTATGAGGAAAGTTCTTGGTGTCAGATATTTATTCCAGTTTTCTACTGTACCAGATCAAATCACATTCATAACTTAATATTTTTCTTTTTTTTTTTCATCTCTAAAATACACTAAAGACTCTCTCTAAGTTATTTTTCTGTTATTATCAAGTCGTTATTATAATAATAATGAAACGAATAAAACTTACCAAACGGACTAAATAGTTGTGTGATTTCATTCCTTTGCCACTCTCTGGGAAACGCCAAATGAAACACGTGGTCCCTGGGAGGCAGTGCTGCAAACGTAATCGAAATGTTAACTAATCATAATGCAACGAATAAAGAAAAAGCTCAAGTCATCGACACCGAGTAACATGAGTCTTTCGCACGGGATTTGGGAGGTTTTTGATGTTTAAATAATAATAATAAAACTTAGTTACGATACTGCTGATGCAGACTCAAAATTTAAAATACAGGTTTGAGCGTAATGAATAATAATTAATAAAAAAAAACTCAACAAGGCCAAAGGACAGGATCATGAGTTTTTGAATTAAGTCTTAAATAAAAATCAACAACTACTGGAAACCAAATTTATTAATTTAACTCATTACCAAAATATGAGAACAATTTGCAAGATATTGTACAATTATCATTGACAGAATATGCATAATTCTAAGGCCGTTGAAGTATCGGCTGCTGATCTCAAGACCGCCCTTCTTGTTCTCAAAGTCTACATTTCCAGTACTCACGTTCCGGTCCCGCCAGGTTTATGAACGGCGAGTCCTGATGAGCCGTCCTGGACAGGAACACCTTGTTCAGGAAGGGCTTGATGAGCGGCGACGTGATGGACAGGAACCTTGTGGTGTCATCGCCCCTCATGTTGGCGAGGTGCGAGTGCATGGCCAGGAAGCAGAGCCCCGTGACGTAGGCGTCGTAGCCGGCTTCGTGGTGCTTCTCGTGGAGTTGACTGTAACCTCGACCTTCATCGGACACTGCGGGGAAAACAATACATTCGAAGCAAAAACATGTTTTTTTTTAAATCGCTGGAGGTCAATTATTGTCAATAACCAATTATTATTTTTTACCTAAGAGCCTTGAGAGGCTATTTCAGCGTAACCTTAACTAGTAGGTGAGCTTACGGGGCTCAAACCGGAGTGATGCTAACACTGACCCTAGCAAGAGCAGTGCTTCGCAGAATCTACCACCGGGTCGGAAACGCGACCCACTGAGAAGATCCGGCGAGAAACTCAGTGGGCTGTGTCTATGGGGATAAGCAATAAATTAAGTTAATAACACTAAGAACAAAGTATAACACAATACATTCTCTGATCCTGCGGACCGAATGGTGAACAGTCGACGTCGCCCTAAACATGTCATTATGGATTCTCCCGATCCACTAACGGTGCTTTTTAGGTACCTCAAGCACCAGTCAACATTCTCTTCGAACCCGTCGCTTGCCACGAAGGGCTCGACGAGTAAGTTAACCCACAGCCCGCTGAGTTTTACGCCGGATCTTCTCAGTGGGTCGCGTTTCCGATCTGGTGGTAGATTTTGCGAAGCACTGCTTTTGCTAGGGTTAGTGTTAGCAACGTACTCATGTTAAAGCCCCGTGAGTTCACCTACTAGTTCGGTGAATCTAGTATAACCCGTCGAGGTTACTAGAATAGGTAGAAAAAAAAACAATTTCTGGGGAAAACGGAAATGTGCAGTACCTTTAGAATTATGTATTGGTACCATTCACCTAATCTTGGTAAACTAATTATTAAGAAATGACTTCTGTAGCTCCCTTTGAGTTATATAGGATAACAATTCAAACTATGTGTGACATATATATCTTATATACTATGTTATATGTGTATGCTCATTATAAATAATTTCAAAAAAATATCTCACCAACTTTAGGCAGAGAAAATGGTGCAGCTGACAGTGTTGCCAACAAATGTTTCAGAATGCTTGAATTCACCTTATCTTTAAATGGAGGCAAACTTGACATGTATTTTGTGTCTAAGATACTGAAAAATGATTTCTTCAATTAAAAAAAAATTACTTAATTTAATGAATAAAGTTATTGATTTATTTACTCTGCAACTATTTTTTTTATAGTATTAGTTTTAGTACTGTTGCATATTAGTTACATACTCTTATATTATTAATCTTATATTATTCTAATTCTATAGAATTCTATTCTAAACTTAATCTTATATTATTTAAGTTCTTTAAAAGGTTAATGATCTTCTTCAGTATTGAATAAGACACACTTTTAAAAATCACTTTTTTTAAGACAATGTTGCACAAATAGCTCATCTTCTTACTGTGGGAACATGCAGTGTGTAAACTCTTTGAACTGGGTGTATTCAGCAGGTAAAGGCTGGAAGAAATGATTCAATGTGTGCATTACGTCCAGTAACATGTTGTGTCCGACCACCAGTTTCTCCTATAAAAAAACATTACAGACATCAAAACTACATTTCAAATAAGTCGCCATGGCCTAATGAATAAGAATATAACTCATATAGCTTTTTCAACTCACAGACTCGCTTATCATCCTAGCTACTTTTGAGAAGCCGACAGCATCTTCAAAATCTTCCCACTCTCGTTCCTTCTTTAGAGCATCATGGTTCTTGAGATCATCCTGTGACTTGACTCTTTTTACATTTAATAATCTGAAAAATATCATGAATAATTTAATTGCGCGGCTCATGGTCTAATTGCCGTTAAGTGTTTACGAGCAGCCTTATGCATCACAAAGTGAACGTCGTCAACAACAAAGTAAAGTATTAATAGACATATTAAAAGTAAAAAGAAGTTCGGAATATCCAGGTACCACTAGTTGCAATAGGACAACCACGGTTACAGTAAAATTAAACATTACTTCCTAAAATAGGTGGCAGCAATCATGCTATTAGGTGGCAGCAATCATGCTATAGGATCTATGGAATTCAGTATCCACTTAAAATTAGTTAAGCCCCTGGCTCATCTGTACTGTAATGTCCTATCATAACACTTCTACATTTAAGGGCACAGGTTATTGATTGATAATTCATAGCAGAAAAACCTGCATAATTAAAGTTGATCTTAAAAGTGCAAAATTTTCAACTGTCACTATTATCCAAACTCTATTATTATCAAATCTTTTGATCTTGTTTTCACAGATTTTTACTCTTACTTTATTTGTTGCAGCATTTCAAGAACCAGGTGTGAGGTATTTGCATATGAATTCAAGTGTAGATGTGTGACAACAAACCTTCATAATAGCATATTCAAAAGTGCAAGGCTAACCTAGTAAATTATTTAATAAATTGTGAACTATCACCTGTTTTTATTTTCTAGAATCTTAGTTTCGACCAAGATTTTGTCTTTAAAACGAGCTCTCAACTCTTGAAACAGTAATAATCTAACAAATGAATTACACTTGTCAATTTCCATTTCGTCTAACTGTCCTTCTTCTAAAAACTGGTGTACTTGGTTACTGAAAAAATATATATGAGTCGACTATTATCAAAGCCGGCAATGTGACTTTTGGACAATTATTGGTAAATCAGAAAAACGAATTATTGACTTTGTATTCCATTGGCAGTCACAAAACTCTTCTGAACGACATCTTAGGTAAATAACAGGTTAAGTATTAACCTTTATTTAATGCAGGTTTTGAACCGTATTCTTTGAAGAAGACGATTATATTCAAATCAATCTGTATTGACATATCAATAACATTTTTTTGTCCAAATGCACAGATTGCCACCTTTGATAATAGACGACTCATATGTTATTACCATAACATATTTAAGAATTCATAGGCGGCACATGTTATACGTGGTGTATATTACTCACCAAATGTCTTCAACATACGCCTTATGTTCATCTGGTACCTTAATGGAATCTTTTCCTTTTGAATATGTCTTTTGTCTCTCTGTTAGGTTTTCTCTTAGTTTGCACTCTATAGGTACTGTCATGTAGGAGATTCCTGTAAATTTTTTATCTATTTTTATTAGCTCGACCTACATCTATGTAATGGAAATTTTCAAGGTATAATAGCCGGCAAACTTCTTGAGCATTTGTCGACGTAGTGGGGGTAAGTTCGCGCATGGTACACTCACGTGCAAAAACAATATTTACTCTGCGTCATAATGCTATTAAATTATTAAAATCAACATATTATGTATTTAATATACGTTAATAATTGTAATAATTTAATCTTGGGGTAAAATAGATATTCCTTCTATTAAGTCAAAACTAGAGCTGTTGCCAGGTCTTGGTTCAGTTGAAGCGACGCTGGTATTTGTAATTTTTTTTTCGTTATCATAATCTTGACCATCATCATCATCACTGTTTTCATCACCCGAATCGCTATCATCGTGATGAGTCGACATAGGGCTCAGTTTACAACTCGGTCGGTTCGGTCTTCTTTTTTGTCTATAATTAATTATTTTTTGAAGATATTCGATTCGTAGTAATCGAATGTTACTTTTTTCAATTACCAGCTTCCGATTACTTTCTGTTTTTTTTTCCATCATTCTTTATTCCGAGCCATTAAAATTTATATCTTCTTTAAATTTTTCGAAGCCTTTCTACGATACGGAGTTTCGCTGCCTGTTATGTAGTTATTATGATTACATCTTTTTATTACAGATTGAACGAAACTATCCATTCCGGTAACTTTCTTCTTCCCTGATGTTTTCTTACCCGGAGTCCGAAACACGGCGAGCAAGGCAGAGTCTTTAACTTTGTTAATAATGCACCTAGCAGTACTCACTGATGTTTTTCTTGCTTCCGAAGTCTGTTTTACTTTTTCCATATCATTCTTCTCCTGTTTTATAATGAAACAATATACGTCGTACACAATTTTTCTACCGTTTCTTTTGAATACTACGCCATAGTGTATTTTTTATAAAAAATCAACAAACACTCAACATATAGCAATGGCAACAAAGGCAACAAGTAATTATAACAAATAACTTAACGATTAATAACGATAGACTTTTTACTGTACGCAAGCGTACTTTTGGGAGCAAGCGGAAGGAGAGCGCGGTGCGGGGCGCAAGGTTCGACTGATCTACCAATAACGCGCTCGATACGATTTCCCCTGCCGTCGCGCCTCACCCTCACCACCAAAGTGATCTAAATTTCAGTTCTGCGCAGTCACAAAGTTTGCCGGTTACTATAATAATCATTAACTTCAGTTTAATTGATTATTGTGAAATTTCTAATACATTCAAATATCAATAACAATCCAATAATTTAATTACTTTCGATTAAAAACATGAACAGTTGTACTAAGATATGTTTAAATTATTTTTAGTTGAAAAGTTAAATTATGTTTTTTTTTTCATTTATAATCCATATAAATTGTTGCAAATGCTAACTCACAGCTTGTCAAATTTATCATACATCTTGACAAATGATTGAGGTTATGAGGTCTTACTTGAATGTTAATAAAAAGTAAGTTACTCAGTGTGCTGCTTTTTAGATTAGAATAGACGGGTTTATAGTATTAGATCTTGCTACTTCACATCTTGTTATTATTGTAAACACTTATTAGTACACTATAATTTTGAAAATATCTAGCCATGCACTCAGAATGATCTACAATCAAATAAAAAAAGAAACCTTACTAACATGTGATAAAAAAAAATTGCTGGTTGCCTCGGAATTAGAAAGTTTTTAAGAATGAAAGAACAATAATTATTCCTCTTTCATGTGTGAAAGTAACAAATCCAGTAAAGAGCATGGTAATTTGTTTTATTTATTACATACATAGATGAAACATCTCACTGAAGAGATGGTGTGGTACCACTGACACCACCTAATACAAAAATTATGATGGTATAAATTATAAATAAGTGCTCACCATCTTTTATTAATTTATTGAAATCAAACCCCTGCGAAGCTAAGAAATCTAAGCTGGAACTCTGACACATGAACATTCTGTCTGGGCCGGGGCTGCCACGAGGAAACAGGTAAAAATTATATGCGTCGTTCATGTAATGCTTCTCCTTATGATTCCAGTGAAAAGCACACAAGCCAAACTGTATTAGTAGAAATTCCGAAGAGCCTTTCTGAGTGCATTTGTAATACTCCTCTGGTGTGTCAAACATCGAAACATCCCGGCCGTTTATAATGCCAGTGAACTCAGTATCTATCACTAGAAAGTCCGCTTTCTTCACAGAAGCTGCTACAAGAGGCAATGCCTCTTTGAAATCTGAAAAATAGTAAATAATAAAACAATATTATCGCTGGCAAACGTTACGAATTTCAAACGAAGTTTGTGCTCACTTTTTCGTATTACTTCCATCTTAAACGAAATGTAACAGTGGTCAATTTAGAAATATCTTTAATATTTTATTGTAATTTCATTTATTTTATGTAACTGTTTCCATGCTATTATAAAATTGTAAATATTCCCAAATTCTCATTGCAAAAGGTGGTAAAACACTATTTTTATTTGGCTCCATAAACTAGATAGGCAAAGGGTGCATAGGCTACGCAGTCGACTTTAATCAATAAAAAGTTCAACATAAAATGAATATAATTAAATTATTTAAGATGAGATAAACTTAAATCAATGAACATTTAATGTTATAATGAAGATTTACCGCGACTTCAATGAAGTATTTGTAAGAATCCGAAAATCTACGACCAACGAGTCTGTTTCATATTCCCTTATTTGTGAATGGATACCTAAACCGTTTTTTTACATTTATACCTAATACCTATTAAAATGAATAAATAAATAATCGGGGACAAATCACATAATAATTCATCAATAATAGCATTTATGAATAGCATCAATCTAAGATTATTATTATATGTTTAAGAGAACAAGACCGATACATACGGAGACGGGTACATGCACACATTTAAATATGTACAAATAAATATTGAACGCCCAGAAAAATCATAAAAAAACCATACTGAACTGAAACCTAAATCTGAACGCAAAAATCAGAAAACCTATCTATAAATATTATGAATGACATAAATTGCCTGAAATTGGTTTCCATTTGCCCGCGGATATTTTGTTTCATAGCCATCTTTTTTCATAGCCGGTTTCATGGCCGTGCCTGACCGCCAGTCGCGACCAATCAGGGGCTCTCGTTGTTGGCTCCCAGGGCGACTCAAAGATTTAGTGAGCGAATGATTCTTTTGGCACGCCGCATGCGCGTCTTTCGTACTTGCAGTTCACCCTAAGTGTATTTATTATCTATGGTTCACCCACCCACCGAAGCGAACACGCATGTATGCGTGCAATGCAAAGTGCATTTGGGACTGCTGGATAAAAGACGTTATGCCATATAGTTCCTACTACCTTCTGAGTACTACGTAAGCGCGTACGCAGCACACCGCTAACTCTCCGACACATCGTGCTGTCTCGCTACTCAATGTCTTGCTAGCCTATGCTCCGGAAATGCATATACTCCATGATGGCTTACAGCGATTTATAGCTGTTGCTAGAAATTACTTATGCTAATATTATTAATACCTTACAAATGTTTTGGTTATAGTGTTAATTTGTAAGAAGACTAAATAAATAAATAAATATAGTTGCCTCGCGAAAAATCGTTTTATTGTAACATTTCATTCTATGCGTTAATTTCAAAACCTCGCACGAGTGATGCCAATATGAGAAAATAAAACTAAAATGACACATAGATAAGAGTCAATTTTTATTGAATAAAGTCTTCGTATTACATTGTCTGACCGCGTCTCTTATAGACTTGCCTGCAAAATCATTTATTTATATAAAATTATTTTTTTGTCAAACTAAAGAATTGTAACCTAAACGAACAAGTAAATTGACTAGAACTATCTAAACAGTTCATATGGTCAGCTTCTCAAGGTGACTCGATATCTTCTCGTAAGCGGATTTATTTCGATAAACGTGAATATTGGATTTCACTTTCTTCATTAACGTTCTTGGATCGATATCGCTGAGCTGGAGTAAAGCATCTGCAATAAAATTCAAACCTTAATCCGAATAACATTTCAGCGACAAAGCATCCACTAAAACGTCTGTTTCTTCATCATAAAATTAGTGGCGTTTACAAGAGTTGTGGGTGGCATTCAATCTAATAAATGTTGACGTGACCACGTGTTATAAATCGATGAACACCAGTTGCACGCATGAAATAGTGTCACGTTCCGCCTGAGCGTGCAAGCGAGAACGCGGAACAAGCGATAGAGAGGTGCGATCGGCCCAAGCGTTGGCTTGTGACACATCTCTCTTCTTGCGTGACGTCAGAGCTAAAAGTTTGAATAGTTCTGCGACTGATTTTACCACGTAAAACTATCGTCCGAAAACCGACTTTACAAGCAACTAATATTATTTGGTACAATACAGCTCCATATTCGGATTCAAGAGGATTAAATAGTCGATCACTCCGTACTACGAACTGATCTCGGTAAAGACGCATTCACAGATTGTTAAGTCAATCCTTACGGTAGGATGTGAAAACTGTCATGGAATAGACTGAGAAGGACGTGAGAAAAAAAAGACAACTTAAATTGTTAAATAGTAATACTAGCTGTTACTCGTGAGTACACATAGAAAAATGCCAGCGTAGTTTCTCGTGGAAATGAGATGTTTTTTCGGGATAAAAGGTAGCTTATGTCAATCTTCTGACCTAATGCTATATGACTTAAAAAATTTATGTCAATCCGTTGCTTAGTTTCGACGTACACGAAGGACAAACCAAAAAATATATATTTTACACTTATAATATTTAGTATAGTATGAATATGGAAAGTGTGGAATGTGGCTGTATAGATTATACTATAGTCTGCCTGTCGATGCGGCAACTATGGAGGATAGAGGTAAGGAAAACCGTCTTATATGGGAGAAGCTTGAAGAAGTGTCCCACTTTCAGCACTAAATAGTAGTTCAAAAATTCTCCAGAATGGCGCTAGCATAGGTACAGGGTATGATATGAATTGAGCAGTTTTTAACTGATTGAAGTATGCTGAGTTAGGAAATTTAATATATTTAATGACTAGAGTAGTTAGTGACAGTGTAATATGCAGGACCTCACATGTTTACGTAGTCCAAACTAATTTCGTCAATATAACCTAAAATTATTGCTGTAGTAAAACGTGGAGACATCGATTGCATTTTCTTATCAGCTTTAAATAGAATACTTTTTGTGATATTGTAATGCTTACAGTTCTTTCGTCTTTTTTATTTCTCTATCTTATTCTAATAACTTTCAGCGCCTTTTTTAAAATTTACCCGGTTGCTACTGTAGCGCCACCCTTATTTAGCAGAGTTTAACGGACATTTTTTCACACAAAGCGACGGTTCTCCTTACGTCTACCCTTCATAGCGGCAACAAATACCAACCTAACATTTCGTTTCTGAACGTTTCATCGACGTCATCCAGGTGCACCAACATGGCGGAGTACAGAGCGTCAACGTGCGCACCGTATACAGTCGTATCGTACGGCTGCGGTCGGTTCTTGAACAAAGTACATAAAGTCTGCACGGCGTAAGAACGAACTTTGTCGCTAACGTCGTCGAGGCGTTTCAATACAACTAAAAAAGACAAAACATATGCAATCAATATTTCCGATTGGTTTTTTATTTATTTTTTATTGCCCTTGTAGGCAAACGAGCATACGGCCCACCTGATGGTGAGTGGTTACCATCCCCATGGACTTCAGCAATGCCAGGGGCAGAGCCAAGCCGCTGTCTACCGCTTAATACTCTCTACAAGCCTCATTTGAAGAAGGACATGTCATAGCGCTCGGGATACACAGTGGAGGGGAGCTCATCCCATAGCCGGATGGCCGGATGGTTTAGAGGAAGAGGTAGACCTAAGAAGAAATGGATGTATTGCGTGAAAGACGATATTATGTGTAAGAGGGGAGTAAGCGAAGAAATGGTATATGATAGAGGAGTATGGAAGGAGAAAACACGTTGCGCCGATCCCAGGTGACTGGGACAAGGAGGATGTGAATGATGATGGTTTTTTCGCTGAGAAAAACCATCAAGCATTTCATAGACGTGAGATGAAAAGGATGTACTGGTGGTAGGACCTCTTGTGAGTCCGCACCGGTATGTTCCACCACCCTGTCTATTTCTGCTGTGAAGCAGTAATCCGTTTCGGTTTGAAGGGTGGGGCACACGTTGTAACTATACTTGACACCTTAGAACTTATATCTCAAGGTGGATGGCGGCATTTACGTTGTAGATGTCTATGGGCTCCAGTAACCACTTAACACCAGGTGGGCTGTGAATTCGTCTACACATCCCACCCAGCGTCGCTAGCTCGACAGATGTGGCCGGCCCATTGCCACTTTAGCCTGATAACTTTAAAAATTACAATCGATATTAATTAATCGCCACATGTTTCCACGAAACGTACCGAAATACATTTTATTCAATATATCCGCTGTAAAGCAGCCGCGTTGGCGGGCTAAAGTCGCGAGGCAGCACACGGCACGCAGAGTGTGCTGTCTTGTCAACGTCGAGTTGTCCTCCACCAGACCCATGAGGAGCGGTACCATTTCGTCCAAAAACGGTTCCAAGGATTCTTTTGTGGGAAAGAGGTTTACTTTCTGCAATAATATTACCTTCTATTTTAAGAGAACATTCGAAAGCAACAGTCCCGACGAATTTAACCTCATTAATTGTCAACCAACAGTTCAGGTTGGCCAACATATTAAAACAAATACGTTCGGAAATGCGTAACTTAATTACAAATTACAGATTGTGTGGGTACTTTTTAAGCAACAAACAAGTGCGGGCGAGTGAGAGAGATGATGATTTCCAGTTTATTATTACAAAAATTTACACTAAAATGTAGATTTTCGTGTAACAAAATGATAAAAATATCGCATTTTATTATTTTTCTTTACGTACGCCTTATGATGTGTTTTCACTAATATATTTATTTTATTTATTTATTAGGCTCACAATACACATCACAAGCTAAAAAGATACATAAAAAACACAAGTAAAAAGAAACAAAATTTGCCTTGCAACATAAGTTATGTGCGCACGACAAAACAAGAAATGGAAATGGAAAATCTTGAAACTAATTCGAATACCTTATCGACGGTGTCGCCATCTCCACCGTTCTCGGCCCGGATGCGATCCTCCTGAGGGCTGTCCTGCAGCGCCGAGCACAGACACGCGACGGCCGCGGTGCGTATCGCCTCGGCGGTGCGACCCGCCGACCATATCATGTTAGGCATTATTATTTCTGTAGAATATAGATCGCAGCGCTTAAATAAAACTTCCAATGTTCCAAAATCTTGTTTTAATAATAATTAAAAATTAATCAACACGTTTATTACGCCTTGCTCATTTTTTTAACCGTCTTCGCCATCTTCGTTTTCTCTATCATTCTCTCTTTCATTCCGTTTTCTCTCACTCGCATCTTAACGCTCCGTTCCACACTCTTCATACCTACGTTTCGTTCTTACCAATCCTACAGTTCTTTAAATATATTTTTTTGTTTTTTTTTCACATTTTCAAACATTATAGGCAAACGAATCCGTTTACTATGGCCCGTAGGCAACAGTAACAACTTGAGAGGTTTTAGCATTTTGTTTCTTACTTAAGTAGTTACCTAATGATGTAGGGTACCTATCACCCCATGCAGGGTACATAAATATACATATGAAAGTTCGATTTTTAATAAAATATTATCAAGTGCGTATTAAATAATAATAAATCGATTATTGCATCATTCGATACGAATAGGCATATCCGGACTGTTGTTTTATCCGATAGCCCATGGACATGGGCAATTTATTAAGAGAGTTATAAATGGCGAAACGGACGGCTATCGTGGTATGGACATGTGATGCGTAGAGAGAAGATGCATGTGACTAGGAGATGTATGGAAATGGTAGTGATAGGTAGAGGGGACAGAGGTCGACCGAAGAAGACATGGAGGAATGTGTGAATGACGATATGAAAGAAAGAGAGGAGTGAGTGTTGAGCTAGCGGCTGATAGAAGAGAATGGAAGAGAAAAATTAGCTGTGCCGACCCCACCTAGTGGGGTATATATATAAGGTGAAGAAAAAGAAGAAGATAAATGGCGAAGATTTCACTCCGGTTACATATATTCATCAGCCAGTCCTTAAATATTACAATTTTTTTTATTGCCCTTATAGGCAGACAAGCATACGGCCCACCTGATGGTGAGTGGTTACTGCCGCCCATGGACTTCAGCAATGCTAAGCAGGGCAGAGCCAAGCCGCTGCCTATTGTAAAATTGATCTCATATCTCAGGCGTAGTGTTATCAGCATTGACCCGACTCTCGATTCTGAACACTCACCGTTCTCGCTTGAATCACTTTATAAACAAGTTAAAAATAAACAATCTCTTAAATTCCGTTGTTTATTTTCAACTTGACCTATACAATAAAAAGAATAAATCAAATTCCGGTGAAGAGGTCACTTAATGCAAGACTACCCACCTTCTATGATGATCTTCAGGAACGCCCCAAGTTTGTCACTGTCGCATTTCCTGAAGTTCTCTTGCCTCTTCAGCAGAACAGTCGATAGAGTCGTGAATATCTTTAGTCTGACTTCCGCGTCCGTTTCCGTGTTCGCCAGACACTCCTTTAATAGGGGAGCTATGAGGTGCAGCTGGGCTCCCATGGCTGAACCTTTCAAGTCATGGTTTTTTTTTAAATTTTTTATTTATTGCTTAAATGGTTAGACGAGCTCACAGCCCACCTGGTGTTAAGTGGTTACTGGAGCCCATAGACATCTACAACGTAAATGCGCCACCCACCTTGAGATATAAGTTGTAAGATCTCAGTATGGTTACAGCGGCTGCGCTACCTTTCAGACCGAAACGCATTACTGCTTGACGGCAGAAATAGGCAGGGCGGTGGTACCTACCCGTGCGGACTCACAAGAGGTCCTATCACCAGTAAAGACCAGATCAGACCAGACCATAAAGTAAGACCAGATGTGGTCAAACTTAGCACAATTTCATTTAGCGCAAACTTTTTCGATCAAGACATCTTTGCTAGACTATAAATGTCAAACAATTTAAAAAAAAACGACGATATGTATTAATTAAATAACTTATTTAGAATGCATCTAGGCTTTAATTTCTCGTTTACTATTGTAATTTTATATTTCCGACCTCGTATGTATATATATTTAGTAATAATATAATGGTAATTAATAATAGTTGGCACAATATTCAAATGTCAACGAATAACAAACAGAAAGAGCACGGTATTAAGCCTTTTATACCTTTTAATGCCATTTAAAACCCCTATTTATACCTTTTTTAATATCTTCTGGCACTATGCCTTTGTACATAATTTTCCTATTACTCTGTACTGTGTCTTGTTTTCTGTGTGTACATAAATAAAAAAAAAAAAAAATAAAAAAAAAAATATCTTTGAAATTACCCCTTTTGCTACGGTGGCGCCACCATAATAGGTCGCTTTTCACGTACACTATTTGACACACAGATAGTGTGCTCCTGAGCTCTCCCCTCCATAAGTGTGCTAGTTGTACAGGTTTATTATTGCTAGTTAGGCACTGAGCACAGAAACTCGTAGATCACAATGTGAATACCGCTACCAAACTTAAGACATGAGGTCGGTGTCTCAATTATGTTGTACGTTTGTCCCGTCCTTTAAATCGGACAATGACAGAAACAGGGCGGCAGTACCCGCTCAACTACGATAATATTATTCGGGATTCCGTTTTTATTACAAAACGACATTCTTGCAGGTGCCGTGGTATAATCGCATCTTTTTTTTTTCTACCTATTCTAGTAACCACGAGGCGTTATTCTAGATTCACCGAACTAGTAGGCGAGCTCACGGGGCTCAAACAGGAGTGCTGCTATCACTGGCCCTAGCAAGAGCAGTGCTTCGCAGAATCTACCACCGGATCGGAAACGCGACTCACTGAGAAGATCCGGCAAGAAACTCAATGAGCTGTGTCTATGGGTTAACGATGACCGATGCTTGGGGTACCTAAAAGCATCGTTAATGGATCGGGGGGACCAAAATGACGAGGGCGCATCACTAGCAACGCTTAGCCGCTCGCGTTTACCCCAAAAAGTCCAGACACGTCTTTATCAAAATCACAATTAAAAACAATACACACCTGCGTGCATCAGAACGCATTCAAGCAGACACCGATCGGGGGTGAGCAGAGTCCACGTGGGGGCGTCGCTGGTGATGTTGGCGAGCACTTTACCGATGTGTCTCTCATAGAGACTGGTTAATGTTTTACCGGACTTTTCAATGCACCGAAGTCTGTCCAGGTTTGCTGTTAGCAAATAATGATCTATGTTACATCATATATTGAAATCACAGTGTTATTTTATTAAAATCGCGCGTGCTGTCGAATCCTAGCTTATTACTAGCCATGATGGGCTCTATGCGCTAATCGGAGCCGATGATCATTGCGTTGGTACAACATCTACCTTTTGGGATGCACGAAAATCTTCGGCAAATAGGCAAGGGGGTACCAGCCCGTGCGTACTCACAATACGGCCTCCAACAAGTAAGCACCGATCAGAGACCTGATCATGCTAGAATAATAGGTATACAAAGATATTTGTTTTATCTTAAAGTACAGACACCAAAAAAGGGAACTTAATTTCACACTCACACAACGCCATAAACTGTATCTGATCATCGACGGGCATGGCGTAAACAGTGAAGTTGATGGTGAAAAGATCGTTGGCGACTGACCCACACTCGTCACCGCAGAGCTCCATCAACGCCTCCGATACGTGAAGCAAATTCGTCTGGTACTTTGGCTGCGAAATAGCAGTAATGCTTTTCCTTTTAAGACGAAGGTGGATTCCTTTAGTTCAATAAGCTTAGAGGAGCAGACAAGCTCATGTTTAACTGGTTCATGTTCCATCGTTAAGCGGTGAACCAAAATACACAGACACCTCAATAAGGACGCAGCTGCTGATCTTGAGACAATGTTAAAGTTTCAAATGCACTGGATGCTTCGTAAAGTCTGCATAGACTTGTTACTCCCTATCATTTTAGTTCTTAAACCTAAGAACCAAACGCATAGGAATTACACAGATTGGGGAATAGCAGTACTAGAACTAGGAAAAACTAGAGGTAGGAGCAGTGTGCTTAGTGTGAGTTTTTTAACGTTCTCGATAGCGTAAAAGTTAAATTTGTATGGAGTTGGAACGTCTACCTACGCTGTTCCAACTGGACACAAATTCGAATTAACTTTTACGCTATCGAGAACGTTAACAACTTGCACTAAGCACACAGTAAAGACTACAGAGTTAAAAAAAAACGCTTCAATAGTAAACCTAACAAAGTATTGATATATTTTTTATATCAGCTAACTTATAAATCGCTGTTATTGTCATCAGTCCTTGATGCGTGTACAGATTTTTAAGATATTCAGGGGCCTTTGATTCGATGAAAATGACGTTCTGAGATTCCGTTACAAACATACAGATCTTCCTAAGCGATGTGAGCTGACAGCCGGATTGGTGTGTTAGAGACAATTAAACAAACCTTTCTAGTTCTACAACGGTCAGGATCCGCCAATTCTTTACATATCTCAGTCAAAATCTTCCCTTTCACAAGTTCCACACGAGAACCTTTGATGATGTTGGCTAGGACAAGCAAGACTGCCCACGATTCCACGTCGGCCTCCAGCAGCGGCCACCACGTTTCCGGAGTGATGAAGTATCCGAACAATTCTGCGGCGCGTTTCACCTGTAAATTGATGAAGAAGCGAATGACGGATTTTAATACACGTCAAATTATTTTAACTTTACGCGAAGTTTGTTTTGGAAACTTCGCATGTTAGTTTTTATTGTGTGATAACATGGATATGTTATTTGTTGTTGTTTAAGTGTATTACTAACACTGGCCCTAGCGAGAGCAGTGCTTCGCAGAATCTACCACCGTAGCGCAAATGAAACCCACTGAGAAGATCCGGCGAGAATCTCAATGAGCTGTGTCTATGGGTTAATTTCCTCGTCGAGCCCATCGTCGCAAGCGACGGGTTTGGCGAGGACGGTAACCGATGTTTGAAGTACCTAAAAGCACCGTTAATGGCTCGGGAGGATCCGTAATGACTTGGTTAGGGCATCACTCTATCAGTTAAGAGGTATTGTATTTAGAATGCATTTTAAAAACTATAATTCCGTTTCTAAGATCCGTTTAATAAGTATAATAATGAACACTGGAGTGTAGCAATATATAAAAAAGTAAATTGTACCTCGACCACAACTCTAGGATCTTCATCAGCTGCCCCACGTATCATAGTACGAACAATAGCGTTGGCATGCTGTGTAGAACCCTCCTCTGCGCATAATATCAACCAGCAGAGGAGCTGAGCCACGCGGAGACGAGCATCTGCTTGCCAGCCCTCCATTTCTGGTACATAAAATTTTAGATTCGCCAACAGTAATTCCTTATTTCTAAGCATAGCCCTGTATCACCGAAGAAGGAAGAGAAGAAAGATGGCCGGCAAGAAATAGATGAGGAGAACTTAATACTGGGCCTAGTGGCATAAATTATGAGAGGCCTATCCCAGTCCAGCAATATAAAACTATGATCTCATCAAGCTCAAGTCATCTATGATTTGCAGCAGAGTGTTATAATTACTATTCGAGCCAGTAATTACCCCCAGTCAAGCATTATACTTTTTCTTGGCATCACTCATTATCCAACACATTATCCACTTATCCAACAACCAAAAACAAAGGCAAAATTTAGTTTATAAGGAAGTATTTAATACAACACTTGACATCAAATTAACGTTGCACATTAAAGTTCTAGATGTCTATGGGCTCCAGTAACCACTTAACACCAGGTGGGCCGTGAGCTCGTCCAGCCATATAGGCAATAAATAAATAAAAAAACATATTATCCACATGCTCATATAACTAATATAGCAATTAAAAGATTATAGAAGACTCAACAATGTGTCAACAATCAAATTATACCTTTTTCAACAGCAAGAACAATTTTCCCAATATTACTCTGCACCAATACTCTACAACCCATGTTGGGTCTTTTAACATCAGGATAATGCGAGGGAACATCTTTCAGGAAATCACTCTTCTTTTTTAAATCTTCCTCATTTTCCTCCATGTATTGTAAGCCAACATCATCCCAGAGTTTCGTGGCAGTTTCCCTGATGCTAGCCATTACATCACTCAGGCTGAAAAAGTATTCTTACTTTTAAGCATACCCACAGTTTGGCTTAAACATGGATTTGAGATATATGTTTAAACCAAAGTTGTTGTAATTGTTACAGGTAGTTGAGTTACTTTATATTATACAACGGTGATAAAGTTTGATGGACCCAATACGGTTGGTTCAGTACAACTTATATTACTAATTTTTAACTACATTTTAATTATAATTTTACAAAATAAAGTTAGTTTATGTCAATTCAAATATAATTCCATCATGTTGCCTGAATATCTATTATTACATTTCTTATATGAAAAATTGTTTTTTTTTTGTACATGTACCATACCTAGTTAACAACAGTGGCATCATGCGATGCCAAAAAGAATATCGGTCTCTGTATTTTAACATCCAGTTTCCTACTTCTAATGTCACCTGGAGGCGAACTTGACTATTTTCATCAAACAGCTTCTCTGCCATTGGTGTTATTGATAGCTCTAAGCATTTCACATTTCCTGACATCACTATTGCTCCTGTAGGCATAAGGTGAATCAAAAATTACTCATGTCACAATTTTACTAAAATAACACTTTCCCTATGTCTACAGGGCTGTTGACGGTGTAAGATGAAAAATAATTAATTGTTGTTATTATAATTTTAAAATAACTCTAAAAGAGCAGTATGCTCTGAGAAATTGATGTTGGAATAAAAGTCGTCGGTGCTAAACACGAGCTTAGCTATTACCCTGGCATTGCTAAGAAAACCTCTATGAGCGCCGGTAATTACTCACCATCAGGCGGACCACACGCCTATCTACATGCAATCAAAAACATTGTCAAAAAAGGTAAAATATTTTTTTTTGCAAAAATAACTTATTATGTTATGATTATGAGTATTAGGGTTAGCAGTAATGAGTGACAAAAAATATATTATTAACTATGAAATAACAATTATAATATAATAATAATTATATAATCACCTATAGCTTTAACAGCTGCAGCCCGAACCCTAAAATGCTGGTGTGCTAGATTTGACAGCACGGGCTTCACATAGCTCTCAGATTGAAAATGAAAATCCCGCTGCAAGTTCTCAGCTAACAATATAATGCATTCACATGCTTCTACCTTCACTTTAGAATAAGGATCCGTAACCGTTTTGGTTAAAATACTTGTTAAATCATTTAGAAAAGAATTTAAGTAATGTGTAACTTTGTATCTATCTAAGATAGTGTGAACTAGCTGGATTAGAACTAGCCGAATCTCTTCAGATTCTTCCACAATCTCAGGACATCCGATACGTCGGACAAGCGTAGGAAATATATAGGTTAAATAATAGTCATTCAGTGGGAGCTTTTCTATGAAGTTCGAAATTATTTGCACGGCTAATTCTCGACACGCCTCCGACTGATCGGAATAGCTTTTGAGTACGTGCGCGTAGATTTCTGGAAACACCACAGTGAGATCACAATCAACATTTTCAGGATTCTCAAAAATTTCTTCGCTTAACTTCGTGAGCGCATTTTTTCGCGCTATCTTTGATTCGCTTTGTAAAGCCGTTATATATTGTTCAAGAACACGTCGAGCATTTTCTTCCAAAGGACTTTTAGTTTTAGACATTATTTGAAGAATGCTAGTCCTGTTCTAAGAAGAAAACAAAATTCAAGCAGTATTGATAAACAAAGTCAGTTACCCTTGGCAACCACTTTTTTTTTAACATGGCAATTATTTTCTGCAAATGCGTCTGCATGTTTTAAATACGTTGCTTTAACGTATCTATCACGAGTTTCTCTTATGCACAAACTTTCTACATGTACACGTGTACTCTATTTAGATGTACAATATCTCTATGTAATATTACTATTCTCCATCTCTTAAATCAATAAAGCCGACTGTATTCTGGCCACTCTTTGGAACATTTTATACTCGTAGATAAAACAAACATAATAGTTTCAATATGTTTTTATTATTAAGGGATTGCTGATGGCTCGGGGGTTTTTACTAGCTCCACAAGCTCAGCCAGAGAGGATGAGATTTGCTAATAACCACCCGAACGTCTCTGGAAGAAACCAATTAACGCAAAGACAATAGTGTTTCGCGAGTACTAGATCCTTTTTTATTTATTGCTATAGTGGGTGGATAAGCTCACGGTCCACCTGGATGAGCAAAAATTCTTAATTTTACAGTATAATGGCTGCCCCACCTCTCAAACAGAAACGCATTACTGCTTCACGGTAGAAATTGATAAAGTGGTACCTACCCGTGCGGACTCATAATACTGACTACTATCACTAAAATTATTTTTGATATATAATATAAATAGTAATATATACCTACTATACATATATAAATAATATTTAAAAAATATCCACTCCTCAGTGTCATATCAAATCTCATTTATGTAAATAATACATAAACAAGTACATTTTATCAGAAAGAAAATACGATAAGATCAGTGACTGAACTAACTAGTACATAATACACACCGTATTAAAAAATCATGGTCAAGCTTAGAGTATACTGTTAGAACTGGCCTTCTTAGTGTATGTAACCATCATAAGTTTATATTAAGAAGAATAGTTGTTGCCTAGCAACAGTTAGTTAGTCGTATAATTTTATGTAAAGAATAAAAAAGTCAGTATGTACATCCGAAGAACTATGTTTCATTATTTAACATAATTACCACAGGTTATGGGCCCAGGTACCTTTATATAAATATATAAATAAGTATTTGGATTATATATATACTGGCGACCATGCAGTCCACAATACAAAAATTGCGTGGACAATCCAATTATGGAACATGGGCATTCGCGACGCAGATGTTTCTCACAGATTGTGATCTATGGGACTGTGTAAGTACAGACACACTTGATACTCCTGAATTTAAAAAGAGAGATAGTAAAGCAAGAGCAAAAATATGTCTACTCTTGGAAGTAAACATTTTCCCAATTGTTACCGGTGCCGTAACGGCAAAACAAAAATGGGATGCGTTAGAAAAGGCCTACGCCGATGGCGGACTGCTAAGACGACTCACTTTATTAAGAAAATTATTTAATTTGAAATTATCATGTTTCCCAAATATCGAAGCATACATCAATGAAGTGCAGGCGACAAGTCAGGCTTTACAGCGAATCAAATCAGGACTGGATGATGAATTCATTGGGATCATAATGTTGGCTGGGTTGACCGAGGAATACAATCCTTTGGTGATGGCGTTGGAACATTCTGGAAGGAAATTAACTTCAGAAGCGGTCATATCTGCTCTAATGAAGGAAGGACAGCGCAAGCAGCCGGCAGTTGAAATGGATTCTGTGTTAGTGTCTAATAACGAAAAACCTAGTAGTAGTGCGAAAAAGGCAATAATATGTCATTTTTGTAAAAAGAAAGGTCATTTTAAATGGCAATGTAAATTTTATAAAGATAGGGATAAGAAAGGTAATGCAAATGTATGCGTAGCTCAAAAGGAGACTAATGATTTTATTACCTTACTCTCTAGTATGGAAAAGTCGAGAAATTGGATTATAGATTCTGGGGCAACTTCTCATATGACATCATCAGATAATGTTTTAGTAAATGCTAAAGGTGGTTACCGGAAGTATATAACTACAGCTAATAATGAGAAAATATTATCTAAGGTAAAGGGTGATGTATTGATGCCTAATTATAAGTTAAAGTTTGAGAATGTTTTGTACATACCAGATTTGATAACCAATTTACTTTCTGTTAGTAGTATTTGTAAGCATGATTGTACAGTTGTTTTTGATAAACATTCTTGTAAAGTTTACAAATCTGCAGATGTATCCTTAGTGGGAAAAACTATTTTAGAAGCACCTTTAAAAGATGGGCTATATGTAGTAGACCCAGATGACAGGGCATTGGTTACTAAAGACATTAATTCGCCTGATAACGATCAATATAAGTTATGGCATAGGCGTTTAGGTCATTTATCACCAGCTCTAATGAATAAATTAAGAGGGTTGGTTGATGGCTTTACCTTGAATGAATTTAGTAAGGAACCATGCGTCAGTTGTTGTAAAGGTAAACAGTGCGTAAAAAAGTTCCCAAAAAGAAAGAATAAAAGAGCTAAGGATATATTGGAGTTGATTCACACAGATTTAGCTGGACCCATGGAGGAAGAGACATGGGGTGGTGCTCGATATTTTCTTATCTTTGTTGACGATTTTAGTCGGAAAGTTATGGGATATATGTTGAAATCCAAAACAGAAGTATTTGCTAAATTTAAGGAATTCAAGGTGTTTGTGGAGAATCAAACTAATAAAAAGATCAAAAAATTGCGTAGCGATAATGGTACTGAATATATAAACGATGAATTTCAAAGCTTTCTACGAGCTAATGGTATCCATCATCAGACTTCAGTGGCACACACTCCGCAACAAAATGGAGTGGCAGAGCGTACAATTCGTACTGTAATTGAAAAGGCACGTTGTATGTTGCAAGATAGTGGTTTGTCCAAAAAATTTTGGGGAGAAGCTGTGTTAACAGCTATATATTTAAAAAATAGGTCTCCAACCATGGCTATCTCAGACAAAGTTCCTGAAGAAGTGTGGTCAGGTGAACGAGTGGATATCACCAATCTCAAGGTTTTTGGTAGTATAGCTCAAGTACTCATTAAGGAAAACAATAGAAGGAAATTTGATTCAAAGTCAGGGGAACTAATTATGATTGGCTATAGTTTGAATCAAAAAGGCTATCGTTTCGTGGATATTAAGAATCCAACTCGGCTAATAATCGCTCGGGACGCAGTATTTTTTGAAAATGTTCAGAATTATGGCAAAGAAACCATTCATCTGGAGTCTGTGGATAGTGTGCAGAACAATGAGGTTTTAGTAAATAATAATTATAATCCAGTTATGCCTCAGGTTCCTGTACATATAGGAGATCCTGATGCAGTGGGGGAATTGGGTATGAATACTCCTGATCCAACCACTTCTACAAATGAATCAACCACCTCTACAAACGAACGTCGTTATTCAAAGAGGATTAGACGTCCCAAAATACAAGAAGATATGATCTATAATTTTTTGATTACCGAGGGATCAGATCCTAAGTCAGTTGAGGACGCATTGGAACGTTCGGATCGAGAGTTATGGCACACAGCCATGTTAGATGGATACAATTCGCTGATGCAAAACAAAAACAGTGAACAGAATTAAACTTAATAAATGTATAAAACTTATGTGGTTAAGTGGGGGTGTTAGAACTGGCCTTCTTAGTGTATGTAACCATCATAAGTTTATATTAAGAAGAATAGTTGTTGCCTAGCAACAGTTAGTTAGTCGTATAATTTTATGTAAAGAATAAAAAAGTCAGTATGTACATCCGAAGAACTATGTTTCATTATTTAACATAATTACCACATATACAATATACATAAACTAGCTTGCTTATGTATTTTCTAAGTGGTCAAGTTTGTTTTCCCCTTTGAAAATTTTATTGCCATGAGATAGCTGTCATCTAAAAAAAATTGTAGATACTGTAAGCTGCTGAGGCCAATTGAGTCGACTATTATCAAAGGCGGCAATCTGACTTTTGGACAATGATTGGTAAATCAGAAAAACGAATTATTGACTTTGTATTCCATCGGCAGTCACAAAACTCTTCGGAACGACATCTTAGATAAATAACAGGTTAACTTTTAACCTTTATTTAATGCAGGTTTTGAACCGTATTCTTTGAAGGAGACGATTATATTCAAATAAATCTGTATTGACATATCAATAAAATTTTGTTGTCCAAATGCACAGATTGCCGCCTTTGATAATAGACGACTCAATTACTCCTAAACATCCACATCACTACGATCAAAAACGTGCACCAATCACAGCTCGCCAAGTACAGCTGTCAACGTCTGCGTTTCTATGAAAGGACGAGATTCTTCCATCATATTCAGTTTTTGACAACTTACGTGGTTTTACATTAGCCTTCCCAGTTTTATATTGAAGTGTCTAAATTTATAACACACGAGTTCAAATACTCGTCAAAAATGTTTAAATTTAGTCTGTTTCATTTATTATTTTTGGCTACGGCCGTGCAGGTGGTCCTATCACTTCGAGAAGGTGATTGCGAAGTGTGTGTGAAAACTGTAGAGAAGTTTGCCGCCACGCTATCAGATGATGTGAAGAAAGACCCTAAAAAAATCGAGGCAGAGTTCAAAAAGTTCTGTAAAGGTTCAAAGAACAAAGAAAATAGATTTTGTTACTATTTAGGAGGTCTCGAAGAGTCAGCCACCGGCATTTTGGGAGAATTGTCAAAGCCCTTAAGTTGGTCTATGCCCGCCGATAAAATATGTGAAAAATTGAAGAAAAAAGATGCACAAATCTGTGACCTAAGGTTCGACAAACAAATCGATCTAAACAATGTTGATTTGAAGAAACTAAAAGTACGTGACTTGAAGAAGATTCTGAACGACTGGGATGAGGTCTGCGATGGTTGCATCGAGAAGACTGACTTCATTAAGAGAATAGAAGAGTTAAAACCCAAATACATGGGTAGATCTGACCTCTAAACTAAATAAATACATTAGGTAAGGCTCTGAAGCCAATCATTAAATTTATGAACCGTCTATTAAAAAAATGTGTAGATATATATCAACAAGTTTTGATTAACAGTAAATGTTCAGCCATAAAACTTTACTTTAGACAGTAGTATCAAATTTTGTGATAATTCTGTGTAAATTTTATAATTCATATTGAATTGATATTACGGTAACTGGCAATGTTGTGCTTAGTCTTTGTGATGGTTCATTCAAATGCTGATATAGGAGAGTTGAGTAAATTAACAAAAAATCAATGCTATGTAATAATATACCATATACAAAACAAAAGTAATAGTAATTGAATAGTAATCATAATCACTAAAAGAAATGCAAATAATCTTTTTAAATAAATCAAATGTATAAAGGTGTTTGTGAATCTCCATAAGACAACCATAAGGCAACATACCAAAACGAATTCATTTTTAACAACTTCTATGTATTATGTAAAATGTAATTACTTACAATTATTTTTTCTTTTTTCTAGGTGAATTATCAACATTCACATTGTGATATCAACATCATGCAGACCTTCTGTGTGATGTAATATGGACAGTGTATTTGTAAATTAATAAAGTATGAAAGTGTATACAGTGAGAATGAACGCATGTACACAATAAATTATTATAATTAAATATTTTTCACGTTCATTATTTTTATTTTATGTAGTAAGTACAATGAACTGAAGTGTTTATGAATTGAACTTCAGAAAAGGATGCTAGGCTAATACATATTATGCTCAATCTCATGCATATGGATAATGCCCTTATACTCCTACCCACAGTCATTAAAATTGAGTTAAGGGAATGATTGGCCCCTTGGATTGGTCTGTGTTCTTAAAAAAGTTTCTAAAATATGTGGCTGACGAACATATATCAGAATGGAGTATCAGAATTTATGTGGAGTTTTATTTTAAAGTCGTTGTGGCCTAACGGATAAGACGTCCGGTGCATTCGTGTTGAGTGATGCACCGGTGTTCAAATCTCAGGTGGGTACCAATTTTTCTAATGAAATACGTACTTAACAATTGTTTACGATTGACTTCCACGGTGAAGGAATAACATCGTGTAATAAAAATGAAACCTGCAAAATTATAATTTACGTAATTACTGGTGGTAGGGCCTCTCGGGAGGCCGCACGGGTAGGTACCACCACCCCGCCTATTTCCGCCGTGAATCAGAAAGGCGTTTCGGTTCGAAGGTGGGGCAGCCGTTGTAACTATACTGGGACCTTAGAACTTATATCTCAAGGTGGGTGGCGCATTTACGTTGTAGACGTCTGTAGGCTCCAGTAACCACTTAACACCAGATGGGCTGTGAGCTCGTCCACCCATCTAAGCAAAACATATCTCCAGCAGAGAACTATCACAAAAGTGGATGTTCGGTGGAGTGGTACCCCCGTCGTCCATAGATCAAAGGACCAGCCTTCTCTTTTGCACTATGATCCAGACTCATCGGACTTGCGCAGTGGTGGGAGACTAGACCTACAAAGGTTTCTTTCTGCAGCTTTGGCGAACGACCAAAAAGCGCGGCTAACAGAGGGATAGCTAAAGTGCTAAAGTTGAGCTCTGGCAACGTGCTCTGACTTCGCCTTGGCATTAGACTTCTTGTAAGACCTGGAAGCGGCGTTATATTTCCACCTTTTGCCTGAGACGTTAGGATCCGTCGTCTATCCCATGCCGCGTATGTGGACCGCTTGAGTTGAACGCTGCTCAACTCAAGCGGTCCACATACGCGGCCCTACTGGCATTGTTATAACAGGATCCTCTGCGACCCCCGACGGGCACCTCAGAAAAAGGAATGAACAATTCCATCCCCTGAAGCACCATATCTTTAAGCCGGTTCGCACAGACGTCAGGATCACCAGACATTATCTCTTAGAGTAAGTGCACGGTTTAAAGGGCGTAAATAATGGTTCCTAGCATTGGTAATATTAGATTCATCATTTCGCATTATGTTGCTTTGTAGTCCTCATGGCTTAAAGGATAAAACACTCAGTGCATTCGTATTAAGTGATACTTCTGTACTGGTGTTCGAATCCCGCAGCCAGGTAACAATTTTTTAAGTGAATGATTTCCATGATAGAGCAATAACATGGTGTAATCAAAAAAATCAGTCACAAAAAATAAAATTTGCGTAATCACTGAGAGTGGGGCGTCTTGTGACCCCACGGGTAGATACCACTACCTGGCACATTACTGCCGCGAAGCAGTATGTGTTTCAGTTTGAAGGGTGGGTAATTGTACTTTAAAATTGTGACTTGGAATGGAACTCAGGCTGTGACTCAGGTCTCAAGGTGGGTGACGTCATTTACGTTGACGCCTATCATGGGATTTGGTCGTCCACCCATCTAAGCAATAAAAAGTTCTCAATCATGGTAAAATAACAATAAATTGTTTTATGATATATTAAAACATATGCAGCACACCTTCAGCACAGCCTTTTTGATACCGAATCCTCTGAAACTATCGCACCACTAAGTGTATTGTGAGCTAGTAGTCCCCTATTATACTATAGTAATAAAAACAAACTACCCTCCTTTTCAAATTGATTAACGTAATTTGTATTTTATAAAAGTTAATTAAGGGAACGACTGAAGTAACAACAGCAACTTAGCGTTTTAAAGCGAAATAGGTACACACTTTCCGTTTGATGGTTTTAAGAGTAGGCCAGTAATTACACCAATGCAGTGAAGAGATTGATACTGACTAACGTACGGTTTTTATTGGGTCCATTGAGTTCTGGAATGTTGAGGAATGGCGACATCTGGCGAAGTGCATTACCACCTTAAACGGTGACCACGACCGCTGTCTCAAGAGTGTACATGACTGAGAAGAACAAGTTATAGTATACTAATTAATTTCAATCAAAGAAAAAACAAGACATCACAGTACTAATTTATTGCAATTTTTAATGAATGTATGAGTTAAACAAAACTGATTATATTTTAATTCATACAGCAACAGGTACAGAATCTGTTCTTTAGTGGTATTTGTAGTTCTTGTGGTGCTCTGAAAATGAAACAATATTTATGTTAATAATGACAGTAAAGCTTTGCTAGAAAATGTTGATATAATACATAATTGAATAGGGGAATTCTTTTCAGCCAATTTATTAAATATGATAAAATAATAACTGCCCACTGCACTGCACTGTAATAATAGTTAGAATTGAATTCACTTAGCAGATTATAACATTGACCACATCCCACTAAACAACTACACATCTGTATAGTCTTTATTCACATGAGTCATTCTTCAATTTCCAGATAATTAATATGAATAGCATTCAAACTCTTCAGATGTGGATTATGCTTAATGGAAAATTGTGCTAAGAATAAGTCTCGTTTGAAACAGTCAACCAGGCTGATTACCAACATAATAACACAAAATAAGTATACTAACTAATTCTTCCATAGTTGATGGCATAGAAGAAGACCATGCTGCCAACGAGTAGTTGATAGAATGGAGCCATGCCAACCTTCTTAGGTTGTACGTACTTATGTTGCCATCTCCACCAGGCTGGAAGTTTAAAATAACACTATTATTCATTATCAGTGACTGTTTTTGAACATGATTTTAATACTGACTTTAAATTTAATTTCATAAATAATAAGTTAATTTTTTATTAATATTATTTACGGTCATATTATTGAATGATTTTGTAACATTTCTTTCTTTTAATTTTAATTTTTCTCAAGCAGTGTTTCATACATAACCTAAAATGCTAATAAAAATATAATTGTATTACCTCTACTGAAAGCTCCAGCCACGGCCGAGGGAGTCTTGCTGCGGCGACCGAACCACGAACCGATTTCATTCAGTTTCAACTGGCTGAATGGAGTATCAGCTGTTAAAAGTAATGTAGAATTACATAACCGAAACTTCAATCAATATCAAGGATCATTGACATAATACGGATGAAACTTACGTTTTCCATAGTAGCGTGCAGGATCGTAAGGCCCATGTACAGCAGGATTATACTCCTTGGGGTAATCACCGAAAGCCATATTTTTAGAAAAGCCCGATGCACTTTTCTAAAAATCAATTCGAGTAGGTACCTACCTAATACTTATTTCAGTTTTTCCGAAAGATACCAACTGTCGGAAGTGTCAAGTGTCATAAATCGAATAACCATAAAGTTAAATACAAGGGACAGTGATTATCAAGATCGCGCGTACATATTTTCAAGAATCAAAATAATATGAACTTTCAATAAGAGTGTACTTTATTTGTACACGAATACTACCTATTAAATTAAATATATTCCAAAAAGGCACAAAAAATCTAACTTGTTTGATAATAATAATTGAATTGTGTGAATGTCTGTTTTCGGGCCTAGAATAGCACCACCCCATCTCTTCACATAGGTGTATATTGTAAGAGGAACTAAGCAGAGTTTTCTAAGTACCTATTATAGCTGCATTCTGTGACGGGCGATTAAAAAAATGTTAGTCACCAAAATTCACGGTTACTTTATAAATTACACTGATAATTCCTCTTCCTATTCTACTTCCTTCTAAATACTCCTCCTACCGTTTTTCTTTTACTGCTTAAATGTGTGGACGGACTCACAGCCCACCTCGTGTTATGTGGTTACTTGAGCCCATAGACATCTACAACGTAAATGCCGCCACTCACCTTGAGATATAAGTTTTAAGGTATCTGTGTAGTTACGACGACTGTCCCACCCTTCAAACCGAAGCGCATTACTGCTTCACGGCAGAAATAAGCAGGGCGGTGGTACTTACCCTTGCGGACTCACAAGAGGTCTTACCACCAGTAATTACGCAAATTATAATTTTGCGGGTTTGATTTTTATTACACGATGTTATTCCTTCACCGTGGAAGTCAATCGGGAACACTTGCTAAGTACGTATTTCATTAGAAAAATTGGTACCCGCCTGCGGGATTCGAACATCGTTGCATCGCTTGATACGAAGCACCGGACGTCTTATCCTTTAGGCCACGACGCCGCGACGACTTCAAATCTTAAACCTAAATATCTTGCAAGCAGGATAACATTTTGAAACAATGCTTACATGGCTTTCAGTTTCATTAAATTAATTTACCCTTTAGTTTCAGTCGAATTGATTAATAATCAAGGTTTCTAATTTAGTTACGAACGTAGATTAATCGATGTAATAGTATACACCATCTTTCCGTAATTGTGAACCATTTCCTGTCTAATTAGGATTCCACCGAGTGAAAAATATTACTTGATCTGACCGACCACATGTTGTTCAGATTTTGTGATACAACTAATCATGTACGAGTTATTAGAGCTCTTCTAGTTTTTGTCGAATCTTTTTTTATACTACAAGACGCCTGTTAAAGCGATTGTTGAAATGACATGCAACCTGTTGATTTTGCCTTAAATTCTCAGCGAAATCAATATAATGTGGTAGAAATAAATGTGAAGGCAAATTTTTTGATAACTTTTTGATAATTTTTTATAACAAGATTTACTAGGTATGAAAACTCGACACGATTATATTTTCAAGTTTTTTTTAATACTAGAGGTCCCGCAGTAGTCGAAATTCGACTATAATTAATGGGAATTATAAGTTTGTACACTACTATGATTGTATTATAAACTACTATAATCACAAATTTCGCCAAGATTAAACTATCAAAAATATGAACAAAGACAAACCATTTTCTATTCTCAATTTGACAACAGACGTCAGGAACAAAAGTTTAACAATAAATAGTATGCATTATTAATAATTATAATTATTAATCTATTGAAGAGGCCTATGTTCAGCAGTGGAAGGCGATAGGCTGAAATGATGATGATGATGATGATATGTGTGTGCGTTAAATACATGGTATGTAGTGTGAGTAATGTTTTCTTTATTAATTTAATATATATTTTATGCATTATTTTAAAAATATATTAGCATTGGGCTCTTCGTCTCTATATTCTCTACAAATGTGGAAAATTTCATACTCCTCCGTCCGCGCAATTTTCGTAAAAAGGGATACAAAGTTTTTGCTTCACGTATTAATATATAGATGAATTATCTCAACACTTTTGCCACTTCAAGAATAATTCTTAATGTCAATTTGTTAAAAATGTCATAAGTCAATCGTCAGACATTGTCTATGATTATACAGCAATTTTTGTTCATTGTACGAATTGAATTGACTACCGTTGTATTCGCTTTAATAAATATTAGTCTGCTGAAAAAATACTAAAATGGTCTTAGAAAGTACTATGATCTGTGTGGACAATAGTGACTACATGAGAAATGGAGATTTCTTGCCGACACGACTGCAAGCTCAGCAGGATGCTGTTAATTTGGTATGTCATTCCAAAACACGATCCAATCCTGAGAATAATGTCGGATTATTAACTCTTGCGAACGTCGAAGTATTAGCCACACTTACTAGCGACGTAGGACGTATCATGTCCAAGCTCCATCGCGTCCAGCCAAACGGTGACATCAATCTATTGACCGGAATCCGCATTGCACATTTAGCTTTAAAACACCGTCAGGGAAAGAATCACAAGATGCGCATAGTAGTTTTTGTCGGTTCCCCTGTCAACACTGACGAAAAGGAACTCGTAAAACTAGCTAAAAGGCTAAAGAAGGAGAAAGTCAACTGTGATGTTGTTTCGTTTGGAGAGGATTCAGAAAACAACCCTCTTTTGACCACCTTTGTCAACACACTAAATGGGAAAGATACATCGACTGGGGGAAGTCACCTTGTGTCTGTGCCAGCCGGAGGCTGTGTTGTGCTTTCTGAGGCTTTGATAACAAGTCCTCTGATAGGTGGTGATGGAGCAGGCCCTTCTGGCTCTGGTTTGTCTCCTTTCGAATTTGGAGTAGATCCCAATGTGGACCCAGAGCTTGCATTAGCTCTACGTGTGTCGATGGAAGAACAAAGACAACGTCAAGAAGAAGAGTCCCGTCGTCAACAGACCACAACTGAAGGCGAAACTGGTACTGCCACTGAAGGAGCAGATACAGCAGTAGAGAGAGCCATTGCTATGTCTCTCGGTCGTGATGCAATGGAACTCTCTGAAGAGGAGCAGATTGCGCTTGCAATGCAAATGAGCATGCAACAAGAAGCACCCCAGGCTGAAGAGAGCATGGATGTTTCTGAGGAATATGCTGAAGTAATGAATGATCCAGCATTTTTACAGAGTGTGCTGGAGAACCTTCCCGGAGTAGACCCACAGAGTGAAGCCATCAGAAATGCTATGTCAACAATCAAGAAGGATAAGGATGAGAAAGATGAGAAAGACAAAGACGGGAAAGGATCCACATCTAAAGAGAATTAAGTTTATTTACTTTTTCATTTTCTTTTGAATAGATACATGTTTGTAAGCTTCAACATTGGAACATGACAGTGTTGATATACCTATAAATTTAAATAAATAACACTTTATTGTACACCATCATTATTTCCACGAGATCCAATTCAAACCTTCAATTTTGTCATACACTGTAACAAAAGAGCCTCTGAAAAATAAAATTAGAATAATTAAAAATAAGGGATTTTTGATATGTATGTCTGTTTTTTACTTTTAAATATTTCTGCATTATCAAGAAAAATCAAAGCCAGCCTAATCTGCTTTCGATTGTGCTGCTTAAATTAACATGAATGGTGAAATAAATATTTCACATTACTAAATAGTTTACTACAGAGCAAGTAACCATTTCAGACATGTCCTTCTTCAAACGAGGCTTGTGGAGAGTATTAAGCGGTAGGCAGCGGCTTGGCTCTGCCCCTGGCATTGCTGAAGTCCATGGGCGACGGTAACCACTCACCATCAGGTGGGCTGTATGCTCGTCTGCCTACAAGGGCAATAAAAAAAAAAAAAACCTGTGGCTTAGGAAGCCAACACATCATTGTTTGAACACCACCACTCACTACCAGTAATTACACAATTCCTTCAACCTTGCATTGTTTTAATTTTATTAGATTATCCTTTATTGTTTATATATATACACTTTATTGTGTATTTGGTACATGTTATATAGTTAGAAAAGTTTGTTGTAGCCACCATAAAGCTTAAAGCCAAATAAATGGCACATTCTATTACAATAATTGAAACAAATACATCAGGTATTTTACCCATATCGGGCAGGTACATATTTTCTGAGGTTGTAACTTTGATTAATGTACCTTTAATTAAATGGTAGAAAAGTCAAATTTTTTTTGTAACGTTCCCGATGTAACCTATGAACCTGAACAATGCATATATTCTGATGGTGATTCAATTGAAAATGCAACTGGGCATTAAAACAAAATCCATTAAGCCAGTAATGAACATTAAGTGAATAAGTATGGCTTACCCATGTGAAAAGATGACAGAGTTTGATGATCTTTTGATTAAAAAAATAACAACCCTTTATCTTTAAAAATTACATAAAAACAAAGTGACTAACATGCGTCTTTTTTAAATTGTTTACTTTGAAATTTTTTCTTTACTTCCATCAACTGCTGCCTGCGTTTTGCTTCATCAAATGGTTTGTAATTCTCTGAAGAAAAATAAATCATATTTAAATGTGTTTAGACCATTCATTTGACGTTCTAGCGGTATTTGTTTTTGTGGAATGAAATTTACGCAGAAAAAACTGCTCAATTATAGGTTTTTACGTTTTTTAATCCGCCAACTGGTCGTTTCATGTACAAATTATAAGTTCTCTATTGAATAGTGACATCAGTATTCACCTGACGAGGATATCCAAAAAAAATGTGCAACGAAAAATCAACCAACAGACAAATCACACTGCCCAACTCACGTTAATTCTGACCCGGCGAGGTATCCCGGGGTGTGAGTTGGCTGCGCCGTCTATACAGGCTTCGGTTAAACCACTTACCGGGATGCCCGGCAGCAGTGATAATACCGTCGACCACCGTCAGCGTGCAGTGCCAAAAATGCTATTCTTTTTTTTTTAGCTTAGATCGGTGGACGAGCTCACAGCCCACATGGTGTTAAGTGGTTACTGCAGCTCATAGACATCCACAAACCAAATGCGCCACCCACCTTGAGATGTAAGCTCTAAGGTTTTAGTATAGTTACAGTGGCTTTTTTTTTTGGCAGGAGGAAATCGCCGGACTTCCGCCCTTCACTGGGGATAGAGGGCGAGGCATGTCGGAGTCGAACCGACTAAAACCTCCTGTCTCTCAACAACCAACGTCCAAACCGCGCATTACGTTAGTTACAGTGGCTACCTCACCCTTCAAACCGAAACGCATTACTGCTTCACGGTAGAAATAGACAGGGTGCTGGTATGGTACCTACCCGTGCGGACTCACAAGAGGTCCTACCACCAGTAATCCAGTATTCAAGTGAAACGCGTCACCCCGCCTTTATAGCCTGTAATAAGCTCACACTTATCTACCCATCAAAAGGGCTGATGCGGGTTGTTGATGATAGGGGGTGTTTAGTTGTTGCAACAATGAAATGCTCCGATAAACATAATTAACGCGTAGATAAAAGTCTGCGGATCCCCTCCCGACCCAAGAAAAGATAAGAAGTGGCTGTATTGTCTTTGAGCTCTAATAGCTAGGCATTATTGAGAGGATTGTGTCGTCGTCATCCCAAATTAACCAAAACTTTAATTGAAGGGTGCATTCAAATGAAATTCACGCAAAATCATTTACCGCGTCTCTTCGTTAGTTGGAGATCGCGTGACCTATCTACTCAGGTATTCGTAACTTTGTATGCGAATAAAATAATCTATTTATTAGTTACGATTTTGTGTGATATTTTTCGAGTCATCATCTCGTTTACCATTGTTGAGTAGTAAAAATGAACTCTTTATGTCCTCGAGCTGCGGCTTAAAACTCTTCGTGCTTTGTGGCGCGGCTGAAAATAAATTAAACCAATGTCATTCATGAAGCCAGTAATCTGTCTATTGGCAGAGTAATGGCCGCCGAAATATCGATTTCTCAATAATCGATAATCAGACATTAAATGTTTAGGATGAGAGTTTAAAACATACATTGCGGAAATCTCTTCCCAGTCGTCTGTCTGATATCACAGTTGTCAGGTTCCTGAGATTCGAGCGTGCCTGTAAAATATGCCAAGTTTAATCAAAAGCTATGTCTTAAATTTGGTATATTGTACCTATTCCTTGCCAAAGCTATCGAAGAGTGGCACGAAAGAACCGTTATAGGTATTGATATACAAGGGGCTAAGTATCCCTATTACGACATAGTGACGTGACTTAAAGGACTGACATGTCTGAACGAGAACTATGAAATATTACTTGGTATCATCCAGCTCTTCATTTCATTAGGGTATTCTTGTTTTGTCGACCGTAACTTGTTGTATACAGGAAAACTTCTCGCGTCTGCATAGAAAAATTATTTATCAATTCAATCTGAATCAAACTGAACACAAGTAGAATCGGCTTATTTTTCGAAACTGCTTTCTTCTCAACCTTCGGTTATAAAAAACCATTATTTTGGTTTAAGCGGCATTTTTGCAACTTTACACGAGAACCATTTAAAGTTCAAAATTTGTTAAAGTATTAATTAAATTATTATAACAAAAACTACTGCAGCTATTTGAATGGAGTAAACTTAATTGAAGTTCAATTAAATACATTGAACAGTTGATGCTAATAGCAAATAAAACGCACCTTTAAGTAATTACAAAGATAAATGTCGCTTGTAGCAAATAAATAGGAGTGAACCCTCGATAAAATATAAATTTAAAAGCATTAAAAAATAATAAACACGCGAGAAAAAAGTAAAGCGTTTTGGCTATTTCCATCACAAAGTATAGTCACTTTCAATAACCAACTGTTGTTTCGAAAGTTTCTCTCGAGTTAGGCAGTCTGACCATTCTTATTTAAAGGCAGACAGGCTTGCTAGTAGTAATATAGGGCGTCTTATGAGACGACACCGTAGGTACCACCACCCTGAATAATGCGTTTCGCTTTGAAGGCTCGGACAGCAGTTTTACTCCAAAAATTGAGATTTAGAACTCGTGTCTCGAGGTGGGTGGCGCCATTTACGAAGCGGATGTCCATGGACTCCGGTGGGCTGTGAGCCTACCATACTGAATAAAAAAGTATAAGTATGAATAGTATTCACCTTGTGGCCTAGTGTCTGATAGCTTAATGAGTTTATTAGACCTTGGACTGAGTGACGGAGAACGGCAAAGAGATCTTGGTGCTGTAACAATTATCATAATTACCTAAATTGTCACATACTTCTCCGCCTTCAAACGAGATTTAAATAGGATCATTTTCAAGCTGTTTGTTTTTCTAAGTCCTTTGCATTGTCAAGAAACGGTAAACAGAAAAAAAGTTTGGATTTATATTGCTGCGAATAATATTATAATATGTAGAAGTAAAAAAAAACGAGATAAAATAATTACACACGCAGGAAATAATGAAAGCGTGACGCTTATGTTTGTTATGGAGTCTTTACCATATTATTATCAATTGTGTGGGCTAGGAGAGAGGATCTTACATAATATGTCTCTTCCAACTATTAATTAGAACTGAGTCTTTTCGAACTATTAGGCACTAATATACTTCCACATTATCCGTCTGCTAGTATTAGTTGGGCAAGAAAATTCTGTATGCTTTTATTTGACTCTTAGCGGACGAGCTTACAACTGACCAGTAACCTACCTAGCGCCTTTCCTGATTTGTAAGTGTTTCTTGGCATCTTAAAACTTCCCACTTAGTCCTGCATTAAAACGATTGTGTGTTCCGATTTGAAAATTTAGAACAGAAAGCTAATCTAACACAGCATCGAGATTTCGATCTAATGCTTCAAGGTGGCGACATTTACTTTGCGGTGACTATAAGCTGGCTAAATGTAAAAGCTACGGCGATTATATAAATCGTTAACTCGTTTGATTTTAATCTAATAATTTGGGATAACCAGCTATATATAATACTCTATCCTAGATGGGCGACTCTACAAAATACCGCGAAAAGACCTCAAAGTTTTTGGTAGTATAATATTATGGTATGATTTTCAACAAACGTTAGGGTACTTTTTGATTTCTTTTACCAATTTCAATAGGAAATTCTAGTTTTATACGCATTACTAATACAAACAATTTACGATTGTGTGGACACTAACATTTCTCGAGTCGATTCCTACACGGCGACAAACTGTTACTCAGCACTGCGGTGCCAGAGTTCGGCTTCGCAAAACCAAAGGTCTCCTTTGCGGCTGTCCAAAACAAAACGGCAAATGCTATAGTAGCAATCAGAACCGGACCCTCGGCTTCCCACAGACAGAACCCGACATGAACTAAACGCCAGACTATCATGTTCACGAGAATGTTCATGCATACATCCCTGTTCTGAGTGCGAGCTGAAAGTGAGTATTTGTTAGGGTCCGCCCTGCGGCCGTTTTATTTGCAAACTTAATCCTATAAATTTAAGTTTTATTTTTTATCGCTCAGATGGATGGACGAGCACAAGTAGTCACTGGAGCCCATAGACATCAACGACGTTAAGCAACCATCCACCTTGAGTTCTGTCTAAGTTTTAATTTACAATGCAAGGCGAGTTGTCATTTAGAGTATATGTATTCGTCAAATCTATTACACAATTTATTTACTAGGGTAAAACATACTGCTGTGTCAACTTAAACCCATAAAAATAAGAGAAGTATAGGAAGCGGTTCGCGAAACATAAACAGAAAAAAAATCGCAAATAAAAAACATGTTTTGTTTTTTAATTAGCACCTTCATTTAATGATTTTCAGTAGGCAGCAGCTTGGCTCTGCCCCTGGCATTGCTGAAGTCCATGGGCGACGGTAACCATTCACCATCAGGTGGGCCGTATGCTAGTCTGCCGATAAGGGCAATAAACAATAAAAAAGATGGTTCGACTTCTATACCAGTTTCGGTATACAATACCAAAAATACTGAAACGTGCACAACATTAATTCTAATTTGTTTTTGCAAAATAGATAAACCCGAATAAGCACCTACATGATTTCAATTTCATTAAATTGTATTTGATTGATTGGAAGAACTTTAATTAAATACCCATGTTTATTTTAATTGACGATTATTGTAAGAGCACATCCTATCTATTATTCTGATACTAAATCTATCACGTAATCTAATAGGTTATGTTATATACCACACTCACGTGTCGATTTAGGCGCCTCCCTTTTCTTCACTGTTAGCGGCGAACGATGTTCACAGACCTCCGCTAGAACATAACATAACTTGAAAATAGAGGCCGCCGCGGCCTGGCCATACCTATAGCTTTGCTGGTGGACCATACATGGCCAACGGATACCACTTAGGTGGTAGGAAGGCGTTACCTTCCACGGCGACAACAGTGATGGCAATTTATGTGTATTATCTATGATGATGGAGACTTATGGAAGGGTGGTGATCATCCTCAACCCATTGAGTTTCTCGCCGAATCTTTTCCGTGGGTCGCGATTTCGATCGGTAGTAGATTCAGCGGAGCATTGTTCTTGCTAGAGCTAGTGTTAGCAATTCTCTCAGGTTGAGCCCCTGAGCTCGCCTACCGGTCCACGTGAAGTTGGAATAGCCCCTTAGGCTACCAACGATTAGGTAGGGAAAAAAGGTGATCATCCCCCAGGTATTATTTTTACTTATCATACATAAACTGTGGCCCCTTTGAGAGATTCAAAGGGAACGGATGAAAACCGTGTGTGGTGTCTACCATTACTATTATAAAGAGGGTATGAGGAGTCCTAATTATCAGTTGAAAATGCAATAAATTTCTTTTCAAATATATATGCCATGGACATTTACTACAAATGCTCCCGCAAAATCGTGAATACCAGACTTCATTTGATTTTTCATTGTAATGAAAAAACACTGGTTAAATTGGTCTTTAGTGTAGCGTTTTGGGTACGTTATCGCCCGCCCGGAGACCATCCAGGACGGTGGTCTCTGTGGGAGTAGTGGGTAGGAACCCACTGCTGCCACAGAGCAAGCGCGCTAATTAGATTCAAGAGTAAAACACACGCTGTGCAACACAAACGAATTTTCGATCTTATTTCTCAAGGTGAATAACGTCATCGTTAAAGTCATGAAGTCATTAAAAACTAGTATTATGAAATAAATAACTTAAACAAATCCTCGCCATTTCGCAATAAACACAAAAGAATATAGCGATTGTATTATATAGCGATATGTACCTACCTTTGTTAATAGCGGTAGACAGTTTTCTACGATCCATTCTTGGCGATGATCGCGGTGTTATTCTTTTGAGGATGGAAGCTTTAAAAAAAATTTTATATTCATTCTTAAGTACATTATATTTTGTGGTGATTAGCTGTGTTCTTAGTCTGCACGGATGATCACCACCATGATGTATATGTCTGATTCGCATCAAACTATGGGCGTTTCGATTTGAAGGGTAGGGTGGCTGTTTTATGAAACAATTTGAGACATCGACTTCTTCTATATTAAAATGTTTTTTTATCAATGAGGGTTTACTGGTGGCCCGAAGGCCTTTCCGGTTTCACCAGGACAGATGGGCGAGCAAAGACTCAGCCCGGAGGGATGGGATTTCCTACGAGGTGCCCCAGCGCCTCCGAAGCAGACCTAATAACTCAAGAGCAGCTGCTTCGCGAATGAATCTACTACCGGATCAGACACAAGTTAAGGCCTACGGCGACTCCTTCGTCTGTTCTACAAAACCAAACCCGGTATGGGTTAGGGGCAGTATTGTGAACCCACATAGGTTACCACTATTCTGTCTGTTTCCCGAACCATTCTTGTGTCTTGATTCTATGATAGCATTATACAATAAACTTTTAATTAATACTGTGCTAGGACTCTACACTTCAAAGAAAAAAAATGAATCTCTTAAACTATCATTCCGTCTGTCTGTCGAGCCAACAGTTAAGACCGTTATTGAAACTTAGATAACTAAAAGTCCGACTGGCGGGGCTTTTGTGAGTTCGGTGTTCCGGGCTGTTTGCGAAGAAGATATGGAAATCATGTTAACACTGATTTGTATATTATATTATATAGTTATAATAGGTATTATAATCAAATTTGTATAATTACATAATAAATACTGCTCTATATTTATATTATCTATATTCCTACACCGGAAGGTTATAAATTTCTATCTACTCAGTAAACGCTAACGCTAAAATTGTGATACCTTAGGCCAAATATGGCCCTAATCGCACTTATCTGGCTCTATTCAAATTCCAGGCGTTAAAAAAAACTCATCTATTATTGATGAAAAGTATATGAAGGCATTGCTAGTTACCGGCGCTGTCCTTCTGAGGCGGATCACGTTTTATCGTCAGCTTTGTATTGAGGGACGTGACTAAAGGCTTCCCGTAGCCGGTGTTGCTGCGATCTTGGCGAAAAAACAAACTATACTATTAAATGCTCGATTAACGTCAGGCTGTCAATGACCTTTTTTTCCTATCTATGCTGATATCCTTGAGCTTCGCCCTAACGTGTAGGTGAGCTCACGGGGCTCAAACCGGGAGTGTGTTTAACACTGGCCCTAGCAAGAGCAGTGCTTCGCAGAATCTACCACCGGATTGGAAACGCGACCCAATGAGAAGATCCGGCGAGAAACTCAGTGGGCTGTGTCTATGGGTAAATTTACTCGTCGAGCCCTTCGTCGCAAGCGACGTGTTCAGCGAAGACGGTGACCGACTGATGCTTTGAAAGAATACAAGGGTAAAACAGTATAAGCATAATTAAATTTACTTTTACGGTTTAATCTCGCGGTCATTGCTTTTTTTCGAACCTTTCGAGTATTTTACTGAGGTATTGTTCATCGACATTTAAATATTTCGCAAACTACCGTCAAATTGTTAGGAAACAAATTCTTGACTTTTATGTTTCTTAGTCTGCAAATAAAGTAAAGAGAACGTCGGAATCACTAAAATTAAAACAATAATAGCGAGATTAAGCCGTTAACTTAATGGTTTTAATTATGTAGGTATTGGTTTCACGAAAACCGAAGAAATTTCCTGTAGAAATCCTGCATCCTTTTGGAAACTTTAGTGGGTGGGTACTTTTTAGCCGTTATAAAAAATGAGGAGGCTCTCAATTCGCATATATTTGATGTGTATTACCTTAGAATTTTTTCTAGGCGAACCAATTTTCAGATTGTGCTTCTCATGTGGTTCCATTTAAATTTTATAAAGATCTGACCCGAAGTTTTTATTTTTTTTATTGCTTAGGTGGGTGGACGAGCTCACATCCAACCTGGTGTTAAGTGGTTACTGGAGCCCATAGACATCTACAACGTAAGTGCGCCACCCACCTTGAGATATAAGTTCTAAGGTCTCAATATTTCGGTTACAACGGCTGCCTCACCCTTCAAACCGAAACGCATTTGTTTTGGGGGTTATCCTTAATAATGGACTTCGACTTGATGATATTCTCATTTTATTTTGTCGAATTCGTTTTTCTTAATTGTTAAAAAAAAGAATTAAGATGTAATTTAGGCAGCTAACAATACTAAAATTTATTTTTAAATTATTTTAATATTTATTGATTAAAACGGAAAGCTCCCTTGTGATCAAATTATACTTACTGNACGCATTTGTTTTGGGGGTTATCCTTAATAATGGACTTCGACTTGATGATATTCTCATTTTATTTTGTCGAATTCGTTTTTCTTAATTGTTAAAAAAAAGAATTAAGATGTAATTTAGGCAGCTAACAATACTAAAATTTATTTTTAAATTATTTTAATATTTATTGATTAAAACGGAAAGCTCCCTTGTGATCAAATTGTACTTACTGGATGGAATCGGAACAGTTGGCACGTTCGCAGAGTTAATCTTTCTGTTAACGTTTGTTAGCAATACCTCGACAACTTCTTTGCTCGGCATCCTCGCGACAGAGTTTAACGTTTTCGAACGTGCTACAAGAAAATCATGCTTGTTTTTTTCTTTTTTTTAAACGAATTCAAAGAATTTATTTTTATTAACCTTCACTGTCAGTAGACCGAGATTATTGGCTTATGTTTGCAGGCTTTTTTTTAAATAAACGTCGGTTCTGGGCCGTAACAATGTAAGTTATGTCAAAAAAAAATAGCATTTCGCCAAAAACATTCCATTGGACTATAAGGGCAATGATATTTATTTTTGTAGCGTAGATCGGTTCACGTTTTTTTTTTATTGCTTAGATGAATGGACGAGCGCACAGCTCACCTGGTGTTCAGTGGTTACTGGAGCCCATAGACATCTACTACGTAAATGCGCCACCCACCTTGAGATATAAGTTCTAAGATCTCAGTATAGTTACAACGGCTGCCGCACCCTTCAAACCGAAACGCATTACTGCTTCACGGCAGAAATAGGCAGGGTCGTGGTACCTACCCGCGCGGACTCACAAGAGGTCCTACCACCAGTAATTACGCAAATTATAATTTTGCGGGTTTCATTTTTATTACACGATGTTATTCCTTCACCGTGGAAGTCAATCGTGAACATTTGTTGAGTACGTACTTCATTAGAAAAATTGGTACCCGCCTGGGATTCGAACATCGGTGCATCGTTCAACACGACGCCTAACAAGACTAACGACGTTGCTAACACTAACCGCAGCAAGAGCCGGGCTTTGCAGAATTTACCACCGGATCGGAAACGCGACCCACTGAGAAGATCCGGCGAGAAACTCAGTGGGCTTTATCTGTGGGTTAATTTACTCGCCGAGCCCTTCGTCGCATAAGTTAAACAAAGTACTGTGTACGACAGACACTCACTATCGACGATGTGTCCCGTCGATACGTTGTGTCTGACATTTAGTCTCTCGTGTTGAACAGCGCTAGAGTTCGACGTGTTGCTTACTGTACGAGCTGACAGAAAACAAAAATTATCTCAATTTAAGATACTTAGATACGGTATACTTATACCACACAAGTTTTAGTGCTTGTTAGAGAAATCATCAATCGTCAGAACTTAAGTTGAAAAGACCTCGAGTGGTGATTTCTCGTCATTAAAATTCAGAGTCACCAGTAGCAGAGTATACCAGTTCGTTGCATCGTTCGTCATTAATACTAGTATAAACTGCTGATCTTGGGCAATGGTAGATGAGTATTTTTTGCCCATTGTGGTCGGTACTAATGTTATGACAAATTCAGTTGTGAATCAATCACACGTCTCCGTTTGAAAGGTATGACTCGAGGTGGTATAGTTCAGCTTATGTATGCTCAAAATCCGATTGATAAGAATTATTTTCTTCTTCTTACCTTTATTCCACTGTTTGGAGGATCAGTGCAGCATATATTTTTGCATTCAGGCCTATCATACGTTATCTCTTTACTCACATCTTCCCTTCGCATATCTTCTTTTACACAATCCATCCAAATATTTTTAAGATACCCCCTCAAATTGTCGTCTACTTTCATACCTAGGGTCTTATTGACCACATAACCATCTATAACATGCCCATACCATGATAAACTACCACTCTATCAATGGCGGTACCTTTAAGGCTAGCAAGAGCAGTGCTTCGGAGAGTAAGCTTGCTCATCAATCACTTACACCATAAAAATATATAAAAATGTACTATTATGGCTACTAGGGTCATCACAATGTATATTTACGTGTCCCGATCGAGGTCAATAGTTTTTCTTGTATTTCCTTACGGTTTTGCTGCGACGAACTTTTGCTCTGCGATCCTAGAGTGAAAAGGTTTTTTGCTGATTTTGATCTTGTTACTGATGTCCAGATTAGCTGTTCAGACGATCTGACACTGACAAAATTCTGTCAGATAGTACGTTTGGTAGCTAGCTCAGTATATAAAATCCATAGACAGCTTAAACCGCAGTAACAACCACTTCAATATTATCTTGCAATCCCTCGATTACCGTCCAATCTTGTACTCCCGCTTTTATACGCTTAGAAGACATATGGCATATAGCCCACCGATACTCACAGTGACCATACATCGGCTTAGCTATGCCCCCTACGCCCTATGCCAAAACTGAGCCGCCGCCTAATACTGAATCTGTGGGCTGGTGAGTACAATTTCACCTAAGGCTGAAAACTGGGTGACGACATTCATTTCTTGATAGCACGTGGGCTGTACTGTTATGACGACCGTCTCACCCTTCAAGCCCAGAAATAGGTGGTAAACCATAAGTGGCATGACTGCGCTGCAAGATGGACGAGTAATTCACCATTACTACCCCATAGAACTAAATAACAATCATCAAGTTTCATGCCGATCTTCTCAGTGTGCTCGTTCGCCGGTCAGGGTGAAGCCAGAATAACCCCTCGAGGCTACTTGCAGATAGGTAGACAAGAAAAGACGAACCATCGCGGGAAGGCTGGCAGATGTGAAACATTGATATTATTTTGTACAGATATAGATCCATAAAAGGATTGTTTGCAACAGGAAATTCATGTGGCTTAAATAATGAAAAATGAAATATGAATATTAAAAAACAGTCGCTTGCATATGGCGACGCGTCGCCACACCGCACACACTACTACATAGAGGCTGTATATACATATACTATCATACAGTGTGGCGACGCGTCACCATGGCATGCATCGCCATGCCAGCAATCAGTTTTAAGTGCGGCTACAGATGTTTGACATAAAAAACTAAATAACATATAATCGCGAGAGGTAGATCAGTATTGACTAACTGTAACAGCTCTTGACTGGGGATGACGATTTACTGCGCGGCACTCTTCCGATCACACCGGACACTGTCATGCCCTTGATCTCTTGTCTGAGCCCTGAAACCAAGTAGACTGTGTAGACTATAGAGTGAGATTTTAAATGATTATTGCAGTAATCTGTTGACAATGGAGATCACCACTTCGCTCACAGGTTATAACTGAATTGAATCCCTGAAAGTATAATAATTGTAGAGCGTATTGTTTTCCGGCGCGGGTAGATACCACCATCCTATTTCGGAGGGTTGGGCAGCCGTTATGCTATATCTGAAGTCAGATAGCGGCATTAACTTAGTGAAGTCTGTGAGGCAAACGGGCATCGAAATGCGTCGGAATTCACCAACAACTCAAAATATGAATACAGTTTATGCATATACATTTTCTCTTTTGTTTCATTGTTAACGTTTTGAAGGAAAACATCCAATACTTATAATAATAATTAGCACCAAAGCTTGTCAACAGCTGCTAAATAAAATAAAACAGTTGACCAAAAAGAAAAGTAGTTGACACATTATCGACCGGACGCGGTAGAGCTCGGCACGCAGTAAGGAATGGCTTAGTTGCGAGTTCATTTTATTATAGTTTCTAAAGGTTATGGGGAGGTCAGTATGCAGCTAATCGCACTGGTCGAAAACGAATAATAGCTAAAGCTAATCGAAAGACGATAGGCTAACGGTCAATAAAATGTTAATTGTTAGTCTCTGCCTCTATTTTTTATATTCAAATATCGCTTTGTTTGTCCGCGATGAACTTCTAAACTAATTAACTGATTTTAATGAAACTTAGCACACATCGTGTAGTTTAGTCCGGCTTGAGAGATAGGAGAGTTTTTATCTCAATCCATAATCACAATATATTTTTATTGAGCATTATTTGCTTGAAACATGAACTGTAGAAGTTCGTAACAGATGGCGGTGTTCGTTGAGTCTCACATACCCCGCGCGCCCCTTTTGCGCGGGGACCTCGTAGGAGGTTCGGGCCTCTACCAGAAAAAAAAAAAAAAAAAAAAAAGGTTCGTTTATCGAAATGATACTTTGCGTCTGAGTTAGATAAATATCTAATTGATAGGGTTTTATTAAAAGTCTAAAAGTTTCATTTACGCTAAAAAAATTGTATGTGTTATATTTTATATTTAAATAAAGATCAAGGCTTTATCTTTTTGTTGTTCTTGAATCATTGTAGTTGGCGCTCCAAGGATAATTTCTGTAAGCCGTAATACCGTCAGCGTACAATGACGCGTCAATAGTTTCAAGAAATCGATATTTTTACTCATTCAGCCAGTCATATTGAAGCATGGCCAGACTTACTGGTTTATACATAAAATCCTTTCGTCCGAAAGGTTTGCACTGACAAAAATATAATATTGAATAGTATATAACGATTCGAATTGTCGTGGCTCGTATGTGAGTCCACATCACTAACGGGACGCGTTGCTCTCCCTGTATCTGGCCCGCGCGGTGGGGGACGACGACGCGGCGCGACTGCGCGTACTCTTGCGGTGTTGTCCGCGATCCGACTGGACACTCTCCGCTTTCTCTTCTAAACAAAAGGAGAGTTCTAAGCTTTCATTGTAGAGCTCGCATATGCCACTTAGTTTTTTTTCAGGGATTTTATGACCTGGTAACTAAGACCTTTATTAGGTGATGTCTTATTTTAATTTATATTCTTATTTTTATGAAAAATAATAATATGGAGTGAAATGATATGGGATAAAATATAATCTCAGTAAAATGGTGGTCATTTACTGAGATTTTTCAGTGGACTTTTTGGAGGATCCCGAGAAGTTACGTCTAGCGGCTATGTTTCATTTTACCACATTTGTGCACTTTCACGAATACTAAACGGTTTATAAACCACCGTTATTACACATTTAAACCTGAAGAAACACTAAATAGACAAAATAAAACAAATCACACAACTTCACTCCTCGCGTTCCCGCCAAAAGTCTATAACGGCTTAGCACGTATACAGATTACATATTCACAGATTATATCACCTATAAAATTCAAAAGGAAATAGTCAATTAAAAAAAAATTAACATATTTTGGTCGATTTATTTAGGCAGGTATTAATCGACAATAACAAACTATTACATCTCAATGGAAAGGCAACACGTTACAAGTTTGTAATATAGTATATTGAAATGCAACCAGCATTACGCTTAAACAGAATTTTTTTTAATACGATGCCTCCAATGAACACTACTCTAACTCAAAATTTTGAAATTTTCGTTTTTCACGCAAATCGCTTCACTATTTTAAAAGTATTACAAATCATTATTGATGCGGTTAGAAGGAAGAGTTAATCAGCTAGTTACACAAAAAAACCATAAATATATCTGCAATAATAAAGATTTTATCAACTTTTTTCGTTTAAACGCTTCTTTTTTTTTATTGCTTAGATGGGTGGACGAGCTCACAGCCCACCTGGTGTTAAGTGGTTACTGGAGCCCATAGACATCTACAACGTAGACGCGCCACCCACCTTGAGATACAAGTTCTAGTCTCAGTATAGTTACAACGGCTGCCCCGCCCTTCAAACCGAAACGCATTACTGTTTCACGGCAGAAATAGGCGGGGTGGTGTTACCTATCCGTTCGGACTCACAAGTGGTCCTACCACCAGTAATTCTCTGTAAACCTACGAATTTGGAGTTAGCGTAGTGTTCATTGGAGGCATCGAATACAGAATGTACTTTCTCGACTACATACCGCATTACGTATGTCGTGACGGAACGAACGAGGTCATCTTAATTACAATGCGTTCGGCTATTTTTTTTAAGAAGTACAAAAATAAAGATTATAATATACACTTTTTTTAAATCTTTAAGTGAAGTTGTAATGTTAAAGTGACTTTTCATTGCGACACGCATTTGGTAGAATTTTTTTCTAATTTAACTATGCCATTTCAAAAATGACACAGAAAACAAAAATACTAAAGAATATTTTCGTTCTGGCAACGAACAACAAACAACACTACAACAAATTCCAACTTAAATAATGTCAAGTTTCAATACAAATTTAAAAACTTCTTAAAAATCTTTCATAAATTTTCATCACATTTTTACAACAAATTTAATATGTGAACGCAATTTCAGTCTACACTTTTAAAATAAAAGCAAATACTAGCTACAACTATTGTCTATGGATTTCATATCTGCGATATTCGTATCTGTGGAGTTTTTGAATCGTTTAGTGCACAGCGATGTACCGGGCTGGAAGCTGTGCGTCGATATTCTCCTCTCCTTCTGCTTGGCTCGGCTGGCTGCCTTCATCTCCATCTCAACGCAGTGCTCCGCGAACATCAGCTGCAGAGGCGCGTACATGTGCGGCAGCAGGGCCAAGTCGCTCATTGTCACCTGAAAACAATGTACAGTAGATTGGGGGCAATAGAGACTAGAGTTAGAATAGGGACAAAACTGGGATGTCAAGCAAGGCCAGGTCGCTCATTGTCACCTGAAAACAATGTACAGTAGATTGGGGGCAATAGAGACTAGAGTTAGAATAGGGACAAAACTGGGATGTCAAACAAGGCCAGTCGCTTGTTGTCACCTGAAAACAATGTACAGTAGATTGGGGGGAATAGAGTCTAGAGTTAGAATAGGGACAAAACTGGGATGTCAAGCAAGGCCAGGTCGCTCATTGCCACCTGAAAACAATGTACAGTAGATTGGGGGGAATAGAGTCTAGAGTTAGAATAGGGACAAAACTGGGATGTCAAGCAAGGCCAGGTCGCTCATTGCCACCTGAAAACAATGTACAGTAAATTGGGGTGAATAGAGACTAGAGTTAGAATAGGGACAAAACTGGGATGTTACAATACTTTTGTTGAGTTGTTAGATTTAACTTTGTTGAACTGAAAATGATTAAGAATATTAAATAATTTAATTTAGTCATCAAAGATTTGTAGCTCATTAAAGATATTAGAAAGTTAGGTTAGGAAAAACTCTGTTGTCCCCGTACGTAACCTGATTCACCCCAAAGCCAAGGTGAATCAGGTCAAGCTATTTTTTCAGTTTTTGTATATGTTTTGTAATGAACTGCCTATTTCTGCCGTGAAGCAGTAATGCGTTTCAGTTTGAAGGGTGGGGTAGCCATCTTAGAACTTATATCTCAAGGTGGGTGGCGCATTTACGTTGTAGATGTCTATGGGCTCCAGTAACCACTTCACACCAGGTGGGCTGTGAGCTTGTCCACCCATCTAAGCAATAAACAAACATGGCGCGTAACGGAAGAAATTAAGATGGCGCGTAACCGAAAAACGTTACAAACGTTTTTCCTCCCTACGTCGATAAAGAAGTTTCACTTAAAAAAAAAAGTAATATGTTAGTTGAGGCATGCGGTCGTACCTGCATGTTGTCGAAGGCGACGCCGACGCTGCGGTTGTCGGTGAGCATGCGCGCGCTGAGCCGCGGCAGGCGCGCGTACCGCTGGCTGAAGTGCGTGAGCAGCGTGTAGGCGGCGCGCATCTGCCGGCCCGCCGCGATCGCCTGCGACGTCGTCGAGTGCATCTTCATCCGCGCCTCCACCGCCAGCTCGTCCTCCATAGTCGCTTCGTGGATCAACAGGGTTGAATTCTCACCTAAAAAAAAAAAAAAAGTTTTTTTCATCTGTACCTACAACACCGAACTCACAAAAACTCACAAACGCCCCGCCAGTCGGACTTTTAGTGCTAAAAACTCTAATAAGCGAAAATCTTTGGAATTTTCAATCGAATTTAGAACTTACCAATTTTAATTAGTTCCTCACAGGGCAAAGTGTCGCCCGAATATGTGATCTTGTGCGTCCCGTCCAAGTCTATGGTGACTCCGAAGGCGTTGGGGCAGTGAGATACTAAGCACGTTTTGATAGCTTGAACTCCTATCCTGGCTAGGATTGCTGACGTCATTTCCTCTGTGTTACTATCGTAAAGCTGAAAATAGTTTAAATCCTGTTAAATCCTGTATATAAAAATGAACTGCTGTTCGTTAGTCTCGCTAAAACTCGAGAACGGCTGGACCGATTTGGCTAATTTTGGTCTTGAATTATTTGTGGAAGTCCAGAGAAGGTTTAAAAGAAAAAAAAATGAAAATGCTCGGAATTAAATAAAAATAATTTTGTTTTCCCTTTAATGTGTCCCCCGTCGAACGGATTTCTTTTGTTTGTTTTAAGTTTATTTTATACAATAGTTAGATCTTTTATTTATCGATTGAGGCACTGCGAAGTCTGCCGGGTCAGCTGGTCGAGGATAAAAATTCGAAGAAATTATGGCAGAATGGGTTTAAGCCCACAATACTAAAGCAGGGTTAAAGGACAAAGGTCACTCAGTACCCGAAATCTAAATTAACTCACCAAACTCTGATTAGGTATTAGCGTATAGTCATTTTGTATCCTCTCAAACTGTTGGTTGTAGACGGACAGCCAGGACACGATCTGGCCGGGCGCTAGTAGGTACGCGGCCTCGGGGGTCGTGGAGGATTCTTCGAAAGCTTCTCGCCGGGCTTGCAGTAGTCCTATTAGACCTGCACAACAAATTAGTGTATAGGAAATGTCTTTTCAAGTGAAAACTTCTTTAGCATCGTTGTGATTCTAATGTCGATGAAACGAAAAAGCGACAGTAAGAAGAGACAGACACAAATTAATTTCATAATATTTAACGTGGAAGAAAATGAGATAGGAAACATTATACAAGTGTTTCTTATATTGTGCTCTACTTCATACCTAATATTCGTACTTAATACATTCTGAATAAATCAATTTAATTTATACGAAGAAAATGTAAAATAATTATCAAACTTTGTATCACAATGATCATTACTAAAACCTACAATAATCCTCTTCTCGAAATTTTAAATTTGTCTCATTATCTTGAACCCAAAATTTGTTAAGGTTTCACTTCTACCATGTGTGAATTGCACAGATGTTTATTTTTAATTTTTTATTGTACTAATTTGACAGAAATATGCAGTAGCGGCATTACAACTGTTTATTGCGTGAACCATCAGCTCGCTTCTCTGGCCATCACAAACAATGGATCACCGCACAGACGCCATACAAATATTTACATACACACGCACTGGGTATAAAAGTACCATTACTGAAATTTCTAAAGACAAACTACTTTTACTAACAATAGCTTTTCCACTTGGTCTAAATACACGGACGAGCTGGCTAGTCTTCACCAGAGCACATACACATCACATTATTCATCCAAAGACAAAATCCCAATTATATTTGTAATTGGAATGAGGTTGCTTCAAAGCAACATAATTCTGAAATGCTTAGCTGTGCATTTTCGCAATACGCTCTACAACCAGAACAGATTCAAGAAACCAACGTTTTTCATAAAATTTAGGAATATCCACAGCGGGAACATCACTGAGTTTCAATAATATTATTAAAACTTGTTTTAGAATATGGAATAGAGAACTCACCGATATGATGGTCAGCGTGAAGATGTGAAATGTAAATAGCCTTCACCGTCCTCAAGAAGGCATTGACTTTCTTCGGTCCATAGAACCTGACCATTTGACCGAACGAACCTTCACCGCAGTCCAACACTATTGAATTGTGTTCGCTGTGAATTAAAGGTAAAAGTTATAATAACATAATCTTGAATAACAAACTAATACAAATAGACCGAGGATAGCAATAAGAGCCATATTCAACAAGAATAATCTTAAAATTAAGAATTACATTTTTAAATCCTAATTTAAAATGAAAAATATTCTATGATCATATTTATGTCGAACTAAATAAAAATCCCAACGTGACTTGTAATCAGGTATTTTCATTTGTCTAAAAGTCAATTTGTTTTTGTTTTTGGCCTTAATTTGTTCAATGGCTGTTTTGGTGCGGGCTGTATGGGCCGGTTGTTGATATAAAGAAAACTTGTGCTTTGTGCCGCAATACGGTTTATTTGTATGTTTATACACTTGATATTTTATGAGTATAATAAACACGTCCGCTTGCGGTGAAAGGTAAATAAAGCGTGTAAAAAGTGAGTAAGAAGAGAGTGACATCAACAATGTTGCCAGTCATATAATTATATTTTCCATACTAAAATATTGGAGTTGCCAACAATGGCTTCACAAATATAGTAGATTTTAAATGGCCCGATAACTGTTGCCCATATGAAATTCCGGTTGGTCAGTTTAAAAACTCACTCGACATGAAGCACAAAGCAGCTGGTGTTCCTCGTCTTGCTGGGTATACAGGAACCGGTGCCCAAGAAGACGAGCTTCGGGTATTCCTTCTGTGCACCGTTGTTGTACCGGATCCCTTCGACCACGTGCCGGAATTGCTCGAGGCTGCTGACGAACCCGTCCACGTCCATCGTCTCTTGGATGTAGTCTTGTATGTGGAGTTTTGGTTCGGCTGATCTGGAATAGGGACACTTTCACAAGAGACCTTAAGAGCGAAGTCATATTTTCCCTTTATGTAATTTTTTTTTCTACCTATGCTGATAGCCTTGAGAGGCTATTTCAGCTTCGCCCTAACGTGTGTAGGTGAGCTCACGGGGCTCAAACCGGAGTGTTGCTTATACGGACCCTAGCAAGAGCAGTGCTTCGCAGAATCTACCACCGGATCGGAAACGCGACCCACTGAGAAGATCCGGCGAGAAACTCAGTGGGCTGTGTCTATGGGTTAATTCACTCATTTATATCATACTGTACAAATGTATGTATGTCAAGAAATTTTTGGACCTACAATTAAGGAAAGCTTTGATACTATTATATTTTAGTGTTTTCTACATAGTAGCTACATTTAGTAATGCGAGTAACTAATCAGCAGCCACCCCATAGCATTTACCTGTCAACTTGCTTGTGTGGCCTTAGATAGTGCATGGTGAGTGTTCTGCCCGCCACTAATTCTAGTTTTGACCCGTCATCAATGTTCAACATGCCATCTCCTTTGCACGAACCCTCCATGTTTATTATGTTCTGGAACTGGGCAAAGGCGATCTGAAAATAACGATGATGATAATTTATCACGAACGTCATATCTACGTGCCACTGTCTGCAGTAAAATTGTTATTTTTCTTTCTGAAAACCTGTTTAAAGGGCGCCTGCTGGGAATATCATTGTGTATGTGGTTGCATATTTATAGTACTTGTGGAGATGTGATGTAATAGATGAAGTCGAAAGATCAAATAACAATGTTATATTTAGATCTTTCGACTCTTCAATTGAATCATTGCTTAAGTGGCTTTGTGGCTCTGAGTGTGTTATTCAGAGTATGAGCCAATTGTTCTTTTTTTTATTGGCGTTTTAGGCAAATTGTCATTTATGTATTGTTATTTAAATATATTTTTACTGTGCTGTCTAGCTTAAAAACTGTTTATTGTGAAATATTTGCATTTAACATCACATGAACTCACTCACTTGTTTCACTTATTTAATAATGATTTAGTTTCAAATTATTCTTTAATGGCATACCTACTTTCTAATTAAAACACAACTACAAATGATCTCTATTCTTCTTCTTTTTCTTCACCTTCTTCCACTAGGTGGGGTCGGCACAGCTTATTTTTCTCTACCATTCTCTTCTATCTGCCATCATCTCAACACTCACTCCTCTCTCTCTCATATCGTCATTCACACACTCTATCCATGTCTTCTTCGGTCGACCTCTTCCCCCTCTACCTTGCACTACCATTTCCATTCATCTAGTCAAGCATCTTCTCTCTACGCATCATATGTCCATACTACGCTAATCATCCACTCTTTAATTTGCTAATTACCGGGGCTACTATCACACTTCCTCTGATATACTCATTCTTTATCTTGTCCATTCTTGTCACTCCACACATCCATCATCAACATTCACATCTTTGCCGCATGCACTCTTCTTTCATGCTTTACTTTCGTCGCCCAACACTCAGATCCATACAGCACGACAGATCTAATGATCGTTTTGTAATTTTTTCCCGCTGTATTCTGCTAAAAAGAGTAAAGTAAAAAAAAAGTCCAAATTTTTTTAAATTGACACCTTATTGTGTTTTTTTTAAAATCCATAGTCACTCGGAATTATGTAGGGATATACATAATATACAACGAATAAACCCTAAAAAAAATGCTACTTTTCTGGTCAATTCAGTAACAATACGGATGGCGTCAAATTTTACTTCTAGACACATCTAATGACCTATATTTACGTAGACGTACGTACTCCTTTTTCATGCTTTACTTTCGTCGCCCAACATTCAGATCCCTATTATTTTATTAAATTTATTACATACCTTGTTTTTCAATTCCTCCAATTCTTTAAGTCTGACAGGACTGCCGGTCTTGGGCACGGGAGGTTGAGCGTTCCACACAGCCGGCACACTGACGTCTTTCAGTAAAGGGAATATATCCGGGTCCAGTAGATGCAGTTTGTGCTGAGTTCGGTGAACAGCTTCCGAGCCGAGACAAGAGTTCTGAGTGTTCAGGATCAGATGCCGCGTCGTGGGTCCGAACTTGGAGAGGAAGGCACGGTAACTGAAATATGCATTTTCTGTCATTTGGTAAATATTACACAGTCGATCTTGTCTTACAGATTATTTATTGAAGTCGTCGCGGCCTAATGGATAAGACGCCCCTTGCATTCGTATCTAGAGATGCAACAGTGTTCGAATCCCGCAAACAGTCTCACAAAACAAGAACTATGTATTTAACAAATATTCACGATTGATTTCCATAGTGAAATAATAACATCGTATTATAAAAATAAAACCCACAAAATTATAATTTGCGTAATTACTGGTAGTACGATGCCTTGTGAATCTGCACGGGTAGGTACCATCACCCTGCCTATTTCTGCCGTGAAGCAGTTATGCGTTTCGGTTTGAAGGGTGAGGCAACAGTTAAAACAGGCCTTAGAACTCTTGTCTCAAGTTGTGTGGCAGCATTCACTTTGTAGATGTCTATAGACTCTGGTAATAACTTAACACTAGGTGGGCCGTGAGCTCGTCTATCTATGTAAGCAATAAGAAATAAATCTATTTAATATGAACACATTTTACTTACGTGGGATGATTGAACACATTCGGCGGTGAATAGTGAACAATTATTGCCGGTACGTTCTCAACAGGATTCTTTCCGTCGTCAAAGTGAGCTGAGAATTCTGATTCCTTTAAATATGATATTTCTGGTACCTCCATTACTAGAATAACGTAAAATTCATTATTGTAAAGTTACAAACAATTGGCATAGAATACCAATATTGATGTCTCACAGCTTGAGTTATGTGGACGAAATCTCAGTTGCATTGGAATGATAGTCTTACTAGCCTTAGCCAGCTAGATCAGCCTTTCCCAATGTGGGCGATAACGCCCCCTTGTGGGCGCTGCAGGCCTAATGGGGGGCGGTAAGAGACCCAGAAAAAAATTAGGACGTTGTGTAGAGGCTTGGGAGGCGATTTGTAATTTCATCTAGGAGGACTCTTCTTAGACACCGACTGAGCTCTCGCTATAGTGGTTATTAAGTAGGTAGACAAAATGGAGGCGCTAAAAATATATTTTATTCTCAATGTGGGTAGTAAACAAAATAAGTTTGGGAACCACTGAGCTAGATAGAAACGAATAGGTTTGTAATAGAATCACCCTCAGTTTTATTAAGGATTGGACCTAAGAGTTCCCTGGCGTGGAACTAGTATGTCATAGGGCAATGGATTTCAAAACGTCTGTGTCAACCAAGATTAGAATGTTCTGTGGATAGTGCATCCAACAAACAAGACTGGATTTTTTAAATGGGAATGCAAGGAGAGAGTTTAATTATTACTTCAGGCTTAAAAAAGTAATAACGGTAGACTATTAACAGTTTAGCAGCTGTGAACAGTACACAAATATGAGAAAATGAAATAAAGTCACTGGATGTAGTTTCTCGGGTTCTTCCAAAAAGAACACTGAAAAGTCTTGGTATATAACCACAATTTTATAGACTTTATTTCGTACCATCTTTATTTACATATTTCTTCTGTGCGTGTGTTTGTGACTGAACTCCTCCTAAACAGCTGAACCGATTTTAATGAAATTTTCTGTGTACCTTCAGATGGATTCGAGAATGGTTTAGATTTACAAATTAGCCCGTCAGATGACGCTGCAGTTGGTATCTAGGTTATTTATCTTTCCTAGAAATAGTTTATATGGCAAAACAACGTTTGCCGGGCCAGCTAGTCTTGTCTAGTTTCATTTAATTTCATCTCAATTGGTTAAAATTTCTAATTAAAAAACTTCATCACGATTCGTTTCAAATAATTTTTCTTATTCTTACGGAATATAAAAAAAAATTTGAACGGGCTTAAAGGGCACGGTGCAAAGCCGGAAAATGTTTGAAATAAAAAAGCCCACGTACCAATAAATACAGGTCCGGGATCATCAGGTGTTTTGACATCTTTGGACAGTACAAGAGTCCCGTCAGGGAGTACCACGTCTTCTCCGTTTTTGAGCTGACCAAGTAGAGGTCCTGGCTTAACTCCGCGTTCCACGCATTTGGCCAGATCTAAGGTGCCTAGGCGTCTCTGTTGAACAAGCGAATTGATTTATGATTTATTACTACCCCATAAATACAGAACTCAACAAATTGTAATGAGCTCAAGCTCTCGCAACCAATCTAATTTAGGTTTAATTTTTTTTAAATAAACAAATAACAACTACACGGATGTTTTTATAAATTTTAGTGATCATTCTCGTATTTCTAATCAATTTATCAATGTACATAGGTAATGAACCACACTAACGTATGCCGTATACAGCTTGATGACTTATTGTATTTTCATAAGTCGTCAAGCAGTATACGGCATAAGTTAGTGTGGTTCATGAGTACACAGCCAAGTGAGGGATACAGCATACAGCCAAGACGTTGCATACTGGTAAACAGCCTTTTTAAAAGGGCATATTATTATATATATTTTTTTATTGCCCTTGTAGGCAGACGAGCATACGGCCCACCTGATGGTGAGTGGTTACCGTCGCCCATGGACTTCAGCAATGCCAGGGGCAGAGCCAAGCCGCTGCCTACCGAATTATAGAGAATTATAAAAATTATAGATTCAAACACTATTATTCAGTAAAACGGCGGTATTCTTCACTTCGATTCAAACCAGGTGAGCAGCAAGTTCAATAGTTCAATTAAAAATAACGAACTGTTGATGCTAACACCAAATAAAACGCATCTTTAATTACACAGATAAATGTCGCGTACTAAGCGAAATTTCGCTTAAACCAAATAACCTTTCACCCCTTGATATGTTGATATGCTATTTTCTATGCTTATGTGCAGCAATTTTTGTGTGAATGAGTACTTAACATTCATTCTCTTATTAATTTAGTAATTTATTTTGGTATATTTTTTTAACATAAATTGAATCGTAAAATAATAATAAAATGTTACAGATTCAAAAATTTAGTTCTATTTTAGTTTAGTTTACTAGTTCTTTATTATAATTCTGTTAGCAATCTGCAAATTGACATCGGCCATTAAAATTATTTTGAATGCCTATAATTATAAAATACATTTTCCGAACAAACCTTAAGTGTACAGATGTACGCTACTGAGCAATGCGGTTGCTTTTGAAGATCATGTAGAACTTTATCAGTTTTTTTCTTGATCTGATCTGTAACAAAGTCTTTTGTTTCTAACTTAATTTTGAATCAGTCATAATATTATGTATCTAAAATCCTTCCAATAATGCCCTCTTTTGCATCTCAGAAGTGATATTCATTTCAAATTATTTTTAATGTTATATTGGTAAATCACACTGGATATTATACTTCAAATAAGGTTCTTTAGTTGTGGCCCGGAGGCCTTTCCAGTTTCACCAGGACAGGTGACAAGGTGAAACTGGAAAGGCCTCCGGGTCACCAGTAATACTAATATGATTTATGTTCATGCAGCAGTACGGCAGCTTCATAACAACATAGAAACAATGTAGGATTCTCATTGATTTCCTATTCGTGAAATTAAAAAATTACAAAAAAATTAAGTAAATATGTATACCTTTTTCAGGGCTTGTTCTAGTTTTGTTCTTTTCTTTAGATGCCACTTTATTTTTAGCTTCGGCATTGCGTATTTCATTTCTATAATAGTCTGTATCATCGTGAATGAACTCTTCAAATTGCTTATCTGTATTTGTATCTAATTTAGGTTTTTTTGTTGTCGGTTTTGGATCTTTAGCTAGTAGACTTTCATGAGGGCCGCTACAATTAAATTCCAATAGAATTATTTTCCTTGCATTAGAAATAGGGTATATACCATAATCATATCATTATCAAACATCATGTTAATGAAAGCAGGAATAAAACAATAAATTACGATCTTGGTAGGATCCTTGTGAGTCCGCACGGGGGGATACCACCACCCTGCCTGCCTATTTCTGCGTAAAGCATTTATGCGTTTCGGTTTGAAGGGTGGGGCAGCCGTTGTAACTATACTGAGACCTTAGAGCTTATATCTCAAGGTGAGTGGCGCATTTACGGTGTAGATGTCTATATGCTCCGGTAACCACTTAACATCAGGTGGGCTGTGGACTCGTCCAGCCATCTATGCAATAAAAAAAAAACACAAGACATTTGACAGATGCTTGAATCTCACTAACAATATTTTCAAGTAAGTTTCCATTTATACAAGTTCCAAACAATAACATTAGAACCATCGGTCTACTGAGAAATTTCACCCGCTCGGACGTAGATCTTCCAATTGGATGATACAATAACATACAAGAACTGCACTTACAGTAAAACATATTTAACACTCATGACGCTATCTTCAAAATCTTCGCTTGGACTACATTTGGCCATAGCCACATTCATTTCTTTCATTATCACAAACCTTTTTGTGGCATTATACAGTTCGTCCTGAAATATTTACAATAAAGATGTTCAATACCAGTTTCATCTAAAGTTTAATGTAATGCAAATGCATCTCTGTCATCACAAGTCAAAAAAATTTAATTCATAACAAATACTGGAGGTACTGGTTGTTTTGTGAGCCCATGCAGTAAAAACTGAGACAGAACTCATATCTCATGAGGGGCGTTTTTATTGTTGATGTCCAAGGGCTCCGGTGACCACTTAGCGCCAGGTAGGCCGTCACTCGTACAGCAATCGTAGCAATAAATAAAAAAAAAGGGATGCATACTAATTAATACAATTCAAAATGAAAAGATTACTATTAATTGCGTTATGAAAATTTTACTGAGCGCTAAAAAACTTTTAAAGTACAATCACTACAGATCGAAAACCAGATAACTTAGCACAGCAATTCAAACTAAAATTGGCCATTGTTATTATTAAAAAGCAATCTAATCTAACTCCCCTAGGTATTAGGTACATACGTCAGGTCTTTTTTGTAAGATATTTATAACTCAGATTGTTTATAGTAAGCACCTAGTAACTGGTATTGTCAGCAAGTTGGGTGTTATTCTTAACCAATGAGTGATACACAATAAATTAAGGCAAAAATTCTGATAGAATTAAGCCAGTAGGGGTTAACTGTAATAACAGCCAAACATTTTACAATTATTTGAAAAACTTGAATGTCAATTACCAATCCCTCAGGACCGTGCAATGTTATATTCGGTACTCCAACATCTTGTAATGTAAGTGACAGTCCCGGCAAGCCTCCAATGTTTCTCCAAGTTTTGCTTGTGATGAAGATATGCTCAAGTCTGGACAGTTTCACCTTATGTTCATGTGCTAAGCGCTGAGTAGATTCTCCACAGTTGAATAGATACCTAGAACCAGATACTTGATGTTTACTTCTTTATACTATTTTTTTATTGCAAAACGGTCAAACTGTCCAACAGGTTCTAAGTGGTTACCAGGGTCCATAATCATCACTACTTGAATTTCACCCACCTTGAGATAGAGGTTAGAAATATGTACCACAAACTTTATAATTGTGATAGTCTAGTATTGACAAAAATGAACATCTTGGGCAATATTTACCCAGACTAAAATGTATAGGCTATTTATTGCAGTATATATTCCCCAATTCTATTGCAGGATACACTCTGGCCTTCAAACTTAGAGAGGAGAGAGGTTTCAAGGACATGGGAATGTCACAAAAGATCCAGAGGGATGAAATGTCAAGTTGCCCAATACATCAAATCCAGGTAGGTTAGATATGAATAATGGCTAAAAATGTAAATTCATAAATTTTGCAAGTTTTGAGTTTTGTTACACAATATTTAATTCCTTTATATAATCTAACTTAATATTATAATCCATAGTCAATACACAAATAGAATTTCTGTATCAAGTACTTTCCTCTTTCAGTTGTTTTCAACTGTTTACAAAATGTGTGCATTAGTGTTTGATATCACAAGGATGCCATAGTAAACTTACTAAAATTATTTATTAATAGAGGAACATACACTAATTGAGTCATTTAAAATGAAAATACATTTCATTAAGTCCAATATCAATCACTATAGTTAGTGATTGATATTGGATAATTATATTAATAATNGTACTTTCCTCTTTCAGTTGTTTTCAACTGTTTACAAAATGTGTGCATTAGTGTTTGATATCACAAGGATGCCATAGTAAACTTACTAAAATTATTTATTAATAGAGGAACATACACTAATTGAGTCATTTAAAATGAAAATACATTTCATTAAGTCCAATATCAATCACTATAGTTAGTGATTGATATTGGATAATTATATTAATAATTATATTAGTATATAATTGTGTTTATTTCAATGACTAATGTGAAAGTTGCATCATGTTTGTATATAATTCATTCAAGTAACTACAGACTATTTCTAATATCAACTTCATAACATACCGTTTCTGATCAGAAAAAAGGTACAGTGTGTTCGGCACTCCACGAGCTCCAGATCCTAAAACTTGAAGATACACAGTACTAGGGGAATATTTTTCAGACTTTTTTGAGAAGTTCTGTCTGCCTCTTTGTATCTCCATTATTCGAGCTGTTTGTGCTTTTGGCATAGTAGCTAAAAATTCCAACAGTTTCTTAGTGGAACTATCCGTTGAATAACAATGGAAACGAATTAAACTAACTAAACCTCTACTAGACAATTTTCTAATACTATACATGTGTTCTGAGGTTAGTGCACGTTAGCCGCAGTTTACAAGCATCCGTAGTTTTATGTTTTTTATTTATTTTGATAATGTAAAAATTATAACATATTTTACAGATTTTTTTTAACAATATGTAATATTTTGACACATTTTCACGTTCAGAATTTGAAAACTCATTTCAAATAATACACACAGGTATATATCTACTACGGTATATTTTTTCAGCTGACAACTTGTATTAAGTGAATTATCTATGCAATTTGCTTTTTTATTTAAGGGATTTTATGACCAGAGAGCTAAGCCCTTTAAGTCATGCTTAATTTAATTTATATTCTTATTTTTATGAAAAATGATGAAATGAAATGAAGATGATTAATTTGATACATAAATCAACTGGGATGAAATCAAATGAAATGAGATGAGATGATATGGGATGAAATATAATCTCAGTAAAATGGTGGTCATCTACTGAAACTTTTTCATTGGACTTTTTGGAGGATCCCGAGAAGTCACGTCCAGCGGCTTTGTTTCATTTTCCCATATTTGTGCACTTTCACAGATATTAAACAGTTAATAAACCACCGTTATTACACATTTAAACCTGAAGAAACACTAAATAGACAAAATAAAACAAATCTCACAACTTCACTCCTTGCGTTCCCGCCAAAAAGTCCTATGCAATTTGCATTGAGAATTTTTCCATAGATATTTTACAATAAATAAGTACCTAGATAAAAAGAGTTTCTGGGTAATGACAACTATCTTAGAAGAGAAGATATTTTTACAACAAGCTGAATCTCCCTAACGACATTTTCAAGCTAGGCTTTCATAAACAGTTTACAAACAGCTTAAACGAACTATCTCCGGATCGTCGATGATTAGTCAATAGTCGGCCAGGAAAGTCCAAGTGTCTTGGATTCATCACGAATAAATTAATGACCTTCCTTCTTCATATAAAATGACTCCGTAATCACGTCACGCTAAAACTCAGTCCAATTCGTGATATGGAACTGGATCTGTCATTTTTGAACAAGGTAGAGAGACTTTACAAGATTTACATTTGTTCAATCGTGACTTCAGTGAATGATAGTACTCATATTATAGATATATTAAAAACTAGCTTTTACCTGCGACTTTGTCCACGTGGAATAGTTACTTTGGCATAACGCTAAATTTTACCCCCACTTCATTTACGTGAAAGTGAAAATATTTTTGAATTATAGAATGTTAAAGAGCTATTTAAACCCCTATTTTGAAACATTCTTTATTGGTGCTCCACTTGTATTGGCCTTACCGCGATGTTATATAGCCTATATTCCTCAATAAATGGGTTATCTAATACTGAACGATTTTTTGAAATCGGACCAGTAGTTCCTGAGATTAGCGCGTTCAAACAAACAAACTCTTCAGCTTTATAATATTAAGTATAGATAGTAGCTGTCAGAGTCGTCTCGGCAGTGGTGATCATGTGGAATCCTTGTTTATTATAGCATGCAGCACAAGTTGCTATGCTGATGTCTATCACCGTTTGTCTATCACTTTGAGATATAAGTAATAATAAGTATGTTCTGTCTGTGATTTAAGTGTCTCTCTGTGTTCACAGTCTCTGTTTCTGCTATTATGGCAACTTTTTGTTTTAGAAAAATGGCGTTCGTTACAGCTGTGGGTTGCGCAATTTTCATGTAAATGTGTACGAAAATTAGTAATAAGTTAATAATACTGTAAAAAATATATATATCGAGTGCGGGCTTCATATTACAGTTTCAATAATAAAGTGTATTTTGCAAAGTTCGTGATAAAATTTGGTATTATCGGATACCTGTCACGTACCGTGTATTTTTTGTGTTGTGGTGATGTATTAAAATGGTAAATAATAAAGATAAAAATAATGCGGCTGTGCAAATAACATGACAATAATGAATAAATTATGGGTGGTGTTATTAGTGGCCTTGACTGGCGCACAATTTGGATACGGGCTGCCCGTACGACCGACGCCGCAAGCCTACCCTCGGGGTGAGTCACTTTGCATGGAAAATCTTATGTTTTCGATTATTTCTCGCATTGGTAATGATCAAAATAAACAATATATGTCCAGTGGGCTGTTATAGTGTTTATAGTTTTCAATATGATCGCTAATGAAGCTATTGTGGGGCCAAACATCTGGCTTGAATCAAAAACATGCTTGTATGTAAAAGTAAATTTTTTATTTTGGCAATAATATCTGAGGGTATTTTTTCATAAATTTGTTTTCTAAAAGCAAGGTAAACATAAAAGAATTTTTTGGTTGGTGAAAAATTGAGTTTAATAAAATTATAATATTATTTACTTGTTTTAATGTTTACACAGCTTAATCATGAATATCTTGTAATTTGATGTAAATTATGTAAATTATTTTTTTACCTTGGGTCATGAATCAAAAGAAATATTTAATTGACAGATGCAAGCCAAGTGTTAGAGGGATGGGATACAGTCAGTGGGGTTTACGCAGCGCTGCCGGCGCTGGCGCTGGTCCTCACTGCTGTTGGTTTTTTGCTGGGCTGCACATGGTGTTACAGACATAAAGATTGCAAGGTAAACATCTTTTAATCATAAACATTATTCAAATCTAAATTTTAATTACTAATTAGGCATATTTATGGAGATTGTTCGAAATTAATGAATTTTAAATGTTCCTGTTCTTATTTATATCTTAAAGTTGACTTTTAAATTATCAGATTAATGTTAATGATATGTTAAAATTTAATATTGTAATAAAAAATTGCTGCATACAAATAAAGTATTTTAAAGTTATATAAATAAAGTTTTATAAAAATAAAAACTTAGAGAGTAGCATTGGTACGTAATATAAAAAAGATATTTTGTAAGAAAAGTTATCTTGGTAGCTACGCAACTTGTTCCATAAATGAAGAAAATAATAGCAAAATTTCATGAGGAAAAACTTCAGTTTGAAGTCTTACTGTGGTGTTGAAAGATCACAAGTGATGGTGTAAAATCCAAAAATGACTTGTTTCATAAACATATCTATAAAACACAATCACAGACATGCCATTCAGATGTTCAATAAAATCTACAATATTAAAGGTTCAAAGTACACAATTACTGAACAATATTTAGTAGAAAACAGATTAATAAGTCATGGAATAATCATCTTATTGGGATAGATTAGCTGTAAAATTTCAAGGTGAGTATTGATTATAGGCGATAGTAATTGCCTAATACCAAGTGAGATGCATTTATCAGTGCTTCCACTATGTCAGACTGCAATTTTGATCACCGTGTAATCTCATAAAATTTCAAACATATGAAACAATATCCGGTGTTAATTTTAAATGACCCAAAGGATTAAAATATATTTTAGAGCATAATAGACTGACCACTGGTTTACTACCAATAAGAAGATTCACCATAAAACTAACCCTAACTAACATAATCTAGTAATTGACGTAATGCACATGTGGATTATTTATTACATGTCAATCTAATTATGCACTAATGACTCACAATGTTTGTTGGTAAACAGATATTTGCTTGAAATTATACAATGGAATTTTATTTTGTTTTCATATCGTACATTGAGAATGACACAGGAAAATAATACCAATTGAAAAATTTTTGAAGTTTTTTTTTTAATAGCAAGGATGGGTGGACGAGGTCACAGCCCACCTACAGATATGAGTTCTAAAGTCTCAGTATAGTTACAACGGCTGCCCAACCCTTCAAACCGAAACGCATTACTGCTTCACACCAGAAATAGGCAAGACAATCGTGAACATTTGTGAAGTACGTATTTCATTAGGAAAATGGTACCCGCCTGCGGGATTCGAACACCGGTGCATCGCAAATTACGAATGCATCGGACAGATACATTAAACATAAAAATAAGTACAAAGCACTACCTGGATTTTGTGACCCAGGGATGGCCTAAGACCCATTTGCATTATCATTTTATTGTTCTTGGCGCTGAAGGCTCTACTAAAGTAAAAACTATACTATAATATAGTATTTGAGTTTAGCGCCCAATAACTTCACAGAGATTGCTGAAAGAAAAGCCTAAGAAAAAGACTGGTTCCAATGACCAAACAGCCTTAAATAATGCACATCAATGATGATAATATAGAATTTTGCAATAATACAAAAGTCATATTTTAAAAGACCTATGGCCAAAATTAGAGCATCACAAAAAAAAAGCTTAGTTTCTCCTGTTTTACTGATTGTGGATACAGCTTAACTATTCGTCTGCCAGTGTTATCTTAAAAAAAAATACAACCAGTTGTTGTAATACGTTTTGTCCAAAGTCAACGGTTGGAGTTGCAGTCGGTATATCTAATCAGCGGACGGGGTCGACGAACCCGACACTCCCGCTTTTGTACGCTATGGAGCCTATTGTGTCTACGGGATTCTTGCATGCCACGATATTCGGACGGATAAATAGCGTCAATTTATTAATAGTTATGGCCCACTTTGCGGCTCGTAAATTAGACGTTCCGACATTGTTATTTGCACTGATTTCCCGTGCGCCGTATTTCATAGAGTGCTTATTGATGGGACACGACTTCGGCGCGCTTGTACATAAAGCTTGTTGAAAATCATATAAATTTAAATAAATTATGTGATCTGGGTGTTTGTTAATAGTGAATTGACTGTAATCTCAATGTTCAACAACAATTATATTTTGTTGTCTAGGTTCTTCAAAAAACGAACTAGAAGTTGATTTTTTATTTTCTGAAAAAAATAATAGAAAAACCTTTTTTTAATCTTGTCACTTCACTTCTGACATGAGATCATTTTTTTTTGTGTTGAAATTTATATCTTAATAATCAACATTAAATACTGCTAAGTACCGACATCTGTTGTCACTAATGTGAAACTAACCAATATTGGTATTTGTGTGTTTTATCTGTGTATATTTTATCAATGAATAAAAACCAGTTCTCATTTGAATCTCAACGTGTTAGTTTCATTAGAGGTTATGGGCCCAGAATTACGTGTTTTTTCCGTCAAGAACTTGCAAGTTAATGCTGTATAAGTTTGTGTGGACTGAGAATACACTGTGCCGGTGAAAATGAGTTCGAATTACGTTGTAAGCGTGCCAAAATTAAAAGGTCGCGAGAACTACCAGGAGTGGGCTTTCGCCGCGGAGAATTTTCTGATACTGGAAGGTACTTCGGACTGTATTAAAGTCACGAATCCAGATGAAGCCGCAGCCGATGCGAAAACCAAGGCAAAATTGATTCTAACGATTGACTCGTCGCTATATGTACATATCAAGGATGTCGAAAATACGAAGAAACTATGGGAAAAATTAAAGCATTTATTCGATGATTCAGGATTTACTAGAAGGATCAGCTTGTTGAGAACTTTGATATCAATTCGTCTTGGTTTTCGCATCATTTTGGCTTAGTGCAAATCTCATGAGATCTCCGCCCCGAGAGTCCTAAGATATAACTTACATGTTTTTTTTTTTGTAATGAAATACGCATTGGTTTTATTTAGAAACTGCAGTCTCGCGAAACGAGAGCCAAAAAAGTATCAGCAAATGTCCCTACATTCTTAATTCGATTGTGTGGTTGCATGACGTAGTCGCATATGAAGTTCATTCAAGGCCTGACAGTCCCTTCGATGACGTAACATATCGATAGTGCCGTTACGGCAAGGAGGTTCGTTAGTACTTAGCCTTGAGAGTTTTTGCAATCAAATCAGAAGAAGTCGTGATAAACTTTCAAACAGACATATCGATCTGAGATTATTTTTTTGTGCATTGTAAAGAATGGAAGAGTAAAAGAAAATCAAGTAAATCAATGAATAATGAAACAAGAATCGATTTGAGACCGCATACTGATGTTTTTCCATGTCGCTGAGAATAGATCAAGTTACCACCGGTTGTTATGGATGTCTATGTGCTCCGTTAACCACTTAACACTAGGTAAGCTGTGAGCTCGTCCACACAGCTAAGCCAGTAAGAAAAAAAAAAGATAACGCTTCGTACTTATTCTTGTGTATAAGATATCACTATAAGTTTTCGTGACAAACTATGGATCACTGTCTAGGCAAAAGGTATTTTAATGGCAATAGACTGTCCAGCTATTAATCAGAAGACTTATTGGTAACAGTATGTATTTTGAGCTAGCAAGAGTAGGTACTACCGCCTTGCCTTGATCTTATCCTTTAGGCCACGACGATTTCTACTTTGATACGTCCATTTAATTTTCTACTTTAATTCACCTAGCCGTCGCGCAGCTAAACATATAGAGTGGCGACTGTACGGTGACACTTGCGCTAATTACTCAGGGATTATAATCAACATGACTCATTAGCAGATGGGACCGTCCTGTTAGACTATCTCGCGTTGTTTGGCATCGTTCTCTTTCTATTATTCGCTCTGTTGTCATCGCATTTACCGGGTAAAGAGAAACAATATAAAGTACTTTACGTATCTTAGGGTATTGAATGTATTATCAAATCATAGGTTCATAGAATCCTAATGACTCAGTGTTTGTTGGTAAACAGATATTTGCTTGAAATTATACAATGGAATTTTATTTTGTTTTAATATCGTACATTTAGAATGACACAGGAAAATAATACCGATTGAAAATATTTTTGAAGTTTATTTATTTTTTTATAGCAAGGATGGGTGGACGAGCTCACATCCCACCTGGTGTTAAGTGGTTACCGGAGCCCATAGACATCTACATGCCGCCAACCATCTTCAGATATGAGTTCTAAAGTCTCAGTATAGTTACAACGGCTGCCCCCCCTTTCAAACCGAAACGCATTTCCGCAATTCCCTGTTGTTATATGTTTTGAGTAAACTCCATTTTTTTTATCTGACTATAAAAAGAACTCGAGTAATTTTTTGTTCTGGAATGAGGGTTCTTTTTCACTTTCACAACCGGTCCTATATTTACTATAGGAAGCGTTGATGTAGACCACTTTGGATATAATGAACAAGAGGGAATGGCTCTGATTGGTTCGAAATTTTAACATCGCAGGCGTTGATTAGGAAAAAAATCTTTCACTGTCTTCTCTAATAACTCTCGTATTGAGTTCAACCCTTGGCGTTGTAGAGTGTACGCTCTGTGTGTTTAGTGCAAGTTTTTTATCTTTTTGATCGCGTAAAAGTTAACTCAAATTAGTATGGAGTTGGAACAAGTCCACTACGTTTGTCCGTAGAGGCGCTATTTCAACCCCATACAAATATAAGTTGACTCATTTGAGTTGATTTGTATGAAGCTAGAACAAGTCCACTATGGTTGCCGCTAGAGGCGCTATTCCAACTCTATACAAATTTGAGTTAACTTTGACGCGATCGCGAAGTTCAAAACTCGCACTAAGCAGCCCAAGAGGGCTCTCTCCTCGTCTACCTAATACCCATATAATATTCGCGAATACCCAAATAAAATTGATACCTCGTAAATTTACAACATTAATTTGAATCCTAAGCATTGGCAATAAGAGTGTTCTGTAGTAATTCAAATTGTACACGGATCCAGGTTGGTCACAATAATATTATTCGCATGAGAGTGTTTACGTTTAAATGTTGTCAACGGCAGGTAGGCGGTTCTGAATCA